TTCAATATAAAGAGAGAGAGAGAAGGATTAGTAATTTCCATTTAATTCCATTACCTTATTTTCTTATCCTTGACAGATACGCGTATTTTGTCTACTATGTGTAGACATCTTCAGTGTCTTGTACTAATAATCGACTATTAGTACAAGACACTGAAGAAGTCTGCACATTGTAGACGAAATACGCGTATCTGTCAAGGATAAGCAAATAAGGTAGTGGAATTAAATGGAAATTACTAATCCTCTCTCTCTTTATATTTATTATGTTACATCTTTGAAATTTCATATGGAACCGTCCTGCAAACAACACGTTATTATGAAGAGGAAGGATAGGGCTTTCATTCGGAATGAAATTTCTTTTGGTAGCCATCTTGGATTTGGCCGCCATATTGTAGTCTATCGGCAATGTTTTCAAACGTCGCTACTTCTTCCACGTTTATCCATAGGCAGATAAGGACGATTCTGCTGCAGGCTAGGCGCTGCTTGACTTTGATGACGCGTCTTGCGTGGAAAATGTGAACCTCGTTATAGAATTTTTTTTGTTTCATAGTGTTAATGTCATTGCTGACCAAATCTCTAGATAGAGCTGGAATAAGGGCGTAATAGCTTTTGTAAACAATTTCGCTGCATTGCCTTCAGTCGATGGATGGCTGCTGGCAGTGACTCCCCCAACGGTGCTTCTGTTTCTTAGAAAGGAAGGCTCACCACGAATCGACCAGATTCTTCACGTTTGTAAGTAGCTTGATACATATTCACCGCATTTGGTTCATCCAGTGTTAGCGGCTTCCCAGAACTGTCGAAGTGTTTTATCGATGTTCATTTCGGTACACAAACTGACGATTGTGGAATGACTGCAGCATCGAGCTGGCCAGCAATAATTCAACCAAATGCGGAATTCAATGTTACTGGGGTTCCCCTTCATCTTACCATCTTCAACAATCGACAGAAACACATCAACATAATCAAGTCAACCTTGTTTGGTTTGTCGAAATCCGGATCCGCTAATGGTACCAAATTAAGATACTTCAGACTTGGCATGTTTGTTGACAGCTTACTCAGCACGTAAGTTTTCGTTTGGATGGCTGGCTTGTAGTCGAATCGCGACGAGATTTCCAAATCCACCACCGGTACCGATACCAGAAGTAACCACCTTCGCATTTTTCCTATCCAATCCAAGAATAGTGATACAATGCTCCGTAATCAGCGATGCTTTAGAACCACTGTCGATCATGACACTTCATGAAACTGGTTGTTTTTTCCCTTCACACATACAGCAGCAGTCGGCAGCGTACCGATGACGATCGAAGCAACTGTTTTGACGTTTGCAGAACAGGATACCACTTGCTTATTCGTTTTCTTCTTCTGTGTTCACTGTTGGTATTTGCGCTTCGACAGTAGAAGTGATGCAGGAAAACTCAGATTTCGTCGATTGCTTTTGGTTACAATCTGGCGTATGGCACACAGACTTCGACGGGCACGATTTTGCACAGTGGTTCGAACGCAAACCATTGAAGCAGCGTCTTGCTTGCTGTACAAATTCACGCCTTGCCTTCACCGAAGCCTCCTTGAATATTGAACACTTCAGTGCCAACATTTCAAAGGGGCGTAATTGCATTTGTAAACAAAGACTTTAGTCATTGATTTATCGTGAATGAAAGCTCACTCATGAAAATGAATGACACCAGCACGCAAAGGAATGTTTCCTGTATCAGCTAGCATTTGTAATTTGGAGGGGTGGGTTTTCATTTGCGAGAAATCGACGTCTAAAGCCATTGTTTACAAAAGCAATTACGCCCCTTTGAAATGTTGGCACTGACTTGTAGATTCCATGGTCTTCGGACATCGGACATGAATGCTGCTCTACGACATAGCAAGACCAACAATTGAAAAGGCCTCAACTCCATTTTGTAAACAAACCTTGTAAGGCCATTTTCTCGGGAACCGAAGTCCGCAAAGGCAAACCAACATAATGAACAGGAGAAATTCTCCTCTACCCGATTGTGGTTTATGTTTGCAAATGTAGGTTTCGGTTCCCAAGAAAATGGCCTTACAAAGTTTGTTTACAAAATGGAGTTAAGGCCATTTCAATTGTTGGTCTTGATAGAAACTGTTGATTTTCTTCTTGATCGGCTTCTTTTCTTCCTTGTAGATTTCTTCTTGACATGATCCAAGTGTTTACCGCCGAACGCAGCACAAGTTTCGAATGCATCACACTTCCGCTTGAGGAATTTCAGTAGTTCATCGAATGTGGGATTGTCGATGTCATCGATGTGTGTTGCCCACTTGGAACGCAAATTGTCATCCAGCTTCTTCAAGACTAGACGAATGAGCCATGGAGCCAATGGCCTTTAGCTGGCATATCACCTCGTCGGATGTCGATACGAGCTTCCGCAAGTTCGTGAGGTTCATTGCTTTTATCACTTGCCGAAACAGCAAACTTCGACTTGTCGTAGTGTTCGACCAGAGTGTCCCACACCTGTTTGTAGTTAACATCTGTGATTGCATAGCTACTCACCAGGCTTTTCGCTTCTCCTTCCAAGTGAGACATAAGAAACTGAAGCTTAAGTGCATTCGTAAGGTTCTTCATGTCCACACTGCTGGTGAAGATGTCCTGCATGTAGATTGGTGCTGCGTGCATTCCATGAAACTGGCCAGCTAACTCCTCCACGGTAGTTGAAGCTGCAGCTTGTCTGGTCAACAACGTCCTTTGTATCTCCAACAGCGCACGAACGACTTCCTTGAGGTCACTTTCCGGTTCAATGAACGTCGCGTCACTGCTGCCGAAATTCGATCTCTTCTCCTGCCGTGTTTCTTGCAACCAGCAGGTGTACAACCGTTTGGTTGCGTAATACAGTTTTTCGTAATCCACTCTCACGTTGAGCACCGACGGCAATTCCTCCTCCGTTGCTGCGTCCTCGATTTCGCATTGGATTTTATCGAAATTCTCCTGCATCTCAACTAGTTTCTGCAACCGATCATTCACCTCGAAGATTGGTGTTTCCTGTTCAGTCACTTGCTTCGCACTAGCATGTTCCCGTTTTATAGCGAATTCGTTTATTATTCAGTTCCAACCTGGATCGGGTATCAAGATTGGGTCTGCTTGTTTTCTGACAAACGTCAGTTTGCTAGTTTGTTTTTAAAACCTAGTACCCCGTACACATTACAGCCTATATCACGTAATTTAGGCTGTCTTGCAATGAGGGAGGCAGGTCCCACAACTGGACCCTACCTATCGACCCACCAACTCATCTACCAGCGACCAACGGCTTTACTTCTCTTCAGAAGGAAGGCGTGATCAGAGATTTTATGCTTCAGAATGAACCCAGGCCTTTTGGGGTGAGGTGTCTACGTAATTTATGAACAGTTCCTTATGTTTTTAGGTTTGCTTCTATTGAATTAAGAATGCTAGACAACATATCGTATCATGAGACTTGAATCAAGACAGATTCTGTCCACTTCCCCTAGGGTATCCGGAACATGTGGCCAATATAATTCTTATGATCCTCAATATGACCGCCAATGATTATGGCTCTGAATTTTCGTGTGAAGTAATGTGTCGCATGATGGGTTTTGATTTAAAAAGGTGTAAGCACTTCACCCGGGGATAACCTGAAAATGTTCGGGTGTGGCCAACATGGTGCTGGTTACTAATCATGACTCTTATTGATCTTCTTTTCGAATTCTAATGTGAATTGATGGCACGGTTTTGAGAATTTCTGAACTTAAGACCCGTACTCGTCGGAATATGTTCCGGTCGTTACTCCGAAACCAGCGGAACGATTCCAAAAACATTCAGTAATGTTCTATGGGATCTTGGTATCTTTCAATACTATGCTAAACTAAAGCAGCATCGCCATTACGTTGTGACTGACTTGCGATTATTTTTCTCATCGACCAGTGACGTCCCGTAACCTCACGTTTTTACCTATGTCCAAATTTCAAAACCAGATTAAATGCCATATTCATACTCGAATCGGTTGAAAAATCCACTTAATCTTCTAGTTCACTCGATATCTATCCATTGCAAGCAATATTTTGATAATTCAGTGCCAACATTTCAAAGGGGCGTAATTGCTTTTGTAAACAATTACTTTAACCGTCAATTTCTCGTGAATGTAATCTTACCTCTACAAAATTACATTGCTTGCTGATAGAGGAAACATTCCTCTACCTGCTGGTGTCATTATTTTTCATGAGTGAGCTTTTATTCACGAGAAATCGACGACTAAAGCCATTGTTTACAAATGCAATTACGCCCCTTTGAAATGTTGGCACTGAATTGCTTATGTTTTGAGAGTTGGTGCACAGGTAGATTGAGGTTAAGGAAACGCCACTGTCATTGACGTTAATTGTAATCTCAAGTCAGCCCCACTCAGATTTTGGTCATACAAAAAAAATCACGATATTTTATCCAATATTTTTTACTAAAAATAGATGCATCCTATCACATTGCACAATTATTTTTGAAATTATCCCTCCAAAATAAGTGTAATATGAGAAAACTTGTGCGCGCCGTTTCCTCATTTCCAGGTTTTTTTTACAGATGACCGACTTGCATGCGGTTATGGGCATAAAGTAGCACATTTTGCCAAATGAGGTAGAGTCGCCTTATTTTTTAACAATTTGGGTTGATTCAGAATGCCTACGGCATTTAAAAACAAACACTATTCAATCACCGACAAACCGACATGAATGATCATTCAAATTACAAAGAAATTTCTGATCAAAACACAAGTAATAGATAAAACATTTCTATGGCGATCCCACTGCACATTTGAATCGGCCGTTATGGATTCTCGATCAAAACTTAAGTTCAAGTTTCATGTCGATTTGTCGGTGGTTCAGTTACCGAACGTTCAATATGTTTCATTTCAGGATATAGAATGTCGTCTAGTTTCAAAAATGTTAACGTTGAAATGATAGGTATGTTCCCGCAGGACATCAGTTCAAACGTCATCAACGAAAAATGATTGCAAATAAGTTCGTCAACTAGGGCTACTTACTTATTTCCGTCGTCATCGTCGGACGAAGAAGACGAGACCTTCTTGATACGCGACCGTTTCTTCTTCGGCTGCGGTTTATCTTCCTCGAAATCGTCCGACTCACTTCCACCGGCCTTGTCATTTTCCTCTTCATCCTCCTCCTCCTCTTCGGATGAATCCTTTCTCCTTCTGGCTTGTCGCATTTCACGCTGCCTCCTACTCCGTTCGTGAACCGTGGCTTTGCTCTTCCCAGTTTTAATTTCGAAATCGCCATCACTGTCACCATCGTCGTCGCTTCCATTAAGCTGACGCTTCGAACGGGTTGACCTCTTGGACATAGTCTTCTGTGTGAAAAAAAAACAAAAACGAAACGTAGACGCACAAACGAATTGTGCCCCTCGAATAAGTACAAGACCTTGAAACTCATCTGACCAAGAACCGAATCTCTCGGTTCTTGGTCAGATGATTCCAGCACAGTAAAAAACACTCGGTCCAAACAAATGAAATTTTACATTTTTGGGAATGTTGTCTGATTTAGAAACCATGTTCGCGATCGGTTCATCGGAATTGGCTTCTTCGCTTTCACTCGACAGAATAACTAGACTCTTGCTACTCATGCTCTTCTTGCCATCTTGCGCCTTCGACTTGCTTGATCCTGCCCCGCTTGCATTCCGCTTACGGATAAAATCGCCGTAGTGGTTTGTGTTCGGCTTGAATGTAGTAATTTCACGATTTTTCCTATCGAGAATACCGCTCAACTTGTGCTCTTTCATGAACGACTTCAGGTCCGAAGGTAATTTCTCAACCCTCAATGAAAAGCTCTTGCAGCCTTCTGGGACCTTTGCGTGTTGCTTCGGCTTGCTCTTGGCAGCTTTAGGTATGAGTTGTCCTTTGACAACTGGTTGATAATCTTCCTCTTCATCCTCATCATCATCGATCAGCTTCTTACTAGCCTTTGTGGCTTTTGGAAAAACTTTCTTCTTGATCGATATGATTTCATCATCACTGTCATCAATGAACAGATTCTGAACGACGTCACCATCTGTTTTGATTTTCTTGAACAATGGTTTATTATCGTCTTCGTTATCGGTGTCGCTGATTTCAATCACACTTGTATCCTTCGCGCGCTTGTTACTGAGCTTTTCAATCGTTGTTTTCTTATGAGATGATTTTTTCTTTGAAGTTTCTTCCTCTGTGGTTGGCAGGAGGTTTGGCCTCATCAGTTTTTCAATCGAAACAAGCCGGATAATTTTCGTGGGCTCCTTTGTACCGCTGTCAGTTTTGTCATCAGCAGATCCAGCCTTGTCATTCGCCTTGTGTGAACTGGTGGCTTCATCGTCCTTTTCGGACTCGCTGCCGTCTGCTTTCTCCACATTACCATTTTCAGCGATACTGACAAGTGAATCATTGTCGATCAATATGACACTATCAGCGGGATCTTCTTCATTCTCCCCGGCTTTGCCATTGGTGGTGAGAAGTTTTGTGGTCCTTTCGGGCTTGCTGTCTCCGTTTGACGAAGCGGCAAGATTCGGGGCCGGTTTAGTGGTCTTTTTGGTTCTCATTGCTGTAGACGGGGGTGATTTTTTCTTATAGGAGCATTGCTCAAATCACACCAGTATTTTTAAACTTCAATGGATCTGAAATTGAAACAAATGAAGATAGGTTAGAAATTGACGGGAAGATTTTCGGAGTGGAGTTTGAGCACAATTTAAATATTTTAGATTTTTCAAGTGCAAATGAGTTTTGATTTTTTTTTGTTATGACATTAGTAATCTAATGTGAGATTAATCGGTCTTATTTGAGGGGTTAGAAGCAAAGGGGTGTAAGTGACTTTGATCGATTCTCTTCATCGACTTTCTCTTTTGATAGCCATAGCTTTATAAACAGATTTTGAGCTATTTCTGCCACATAGTTTGATAAAGGATGATGAACATTTCAAATGGTCCTATCTGCTTTGATCGATTCTCTTCATCGACTTTCTCTTTCGTCAATAACTCAGCTGCAAAACCTTTCCCTGTTGTATTTGACGTTTTGGACACTAGATAAGAACCTCCTTTATCAAACTATACGGTAGAATTAGCGCGAAATCTGTTTGCATAACAGTGGTTATGAAAAGAGAAAGCCGATGAAGAGAATCGATCAAAGCAGATAGGACCATTTGAAATGTTCATCGAGAATTGTAATTGTTCGGTAGGGACAAATGAACCAGCTTTGTGCTGGAATTTGGCCATTTCATCACGCATGGTGCAATCTGTTCCAGGTCATTTGGTCTACGTACTCTTCGCTTCTAGATCCTTAAAAAAACTGAGCAACCTATGAGTTTTAGGCATCATAAAAATCAACTGCTGAAACCGAAAAACCTCAAGACTTGAGAAAATGTTATGCAACAAGTTTTTAAATAACGTTTATTTTCGATAATCTGTACTGCGCATATTTCACCAAAGAAGACTAAAAATAATCCTTCAGAGTTAATATTTGCCATTTCAAGGTAAGAAAGTGCTTCCAGGTGACTGTCGGGAACACTCGCTCGGATCCGTTCCCCGAGGAAACTGGAGTGCCCCAGGGATCCGTCATAGCGGTAACGCTATTCCTGGTGGCAATTCATCTCATTCCGCTCAAGAAAACAGTGCGTGTTCTGGGGATAGTACTGGATCGCACCCTAAGCTTCACAACCAGCACTTCAGGATGGTGAAAGAAAACTGTTGTATCCGCATCAACATAGTCAGGGTAATCTCCCACCCGCATCGCTCCAGCAACCGTGAGATCCATCTTCGTGTCGCTCGGGCTGTTATCGACAGTCGACTTTTCTACGGCCTCGAAATAACCTGCTTAGCCACCGAGAAGCTCAACCACATCCTCGATCCGGTATACAATACCTACGTACGCATCGTATCCGTCCTTCTCTCTCCCTTCCACGCCTGCGGAATCCTCCTTTTCCGCTATCGATCTGCTGCACTCATTGCTACGAAAGCCGCTACCCTCGCTGCTAAGACATTCGGGAACGAAAGGGTCTTTCTCCTAAACAAGGGCAATAGAGCCCTCCGCACTGCAGCCAACCGTGACCTCCCCCCGGTGGCCAGGGTCCACTGGCATGGAGAGAAGAGTTGGCGATCAAACGTCGTCAAAATAGATAAGCAGATTAATACCCCGTTCACATTACAACCTATATCACGTAATATAGGCTGTCTTGCAATGGGCACTCATACATAGGATTTCCAGTGAAAACTAGGCGTAAGAGTGGATTCCAAGCCGGAGATAACTCTGTAGCTTTGAGACGTTCTGTTGCAGAGCTTCTCAGGTCGGTTTATCCGCGGCACGTTCGGACGGATCGCGGTCACGGGCTGGAGTTGGACTCGGAGTGGCAGGACCGAACACTGCAACGAGTCAAAGTCTACCGGAGGAGTGTTCCGTTTTTTCCGCTGAAGCCACAGCTATTCTAGACGCAGCCATCACTCCGCCAGATCAACCGATCCTCGTGTTAACTGACTCACACAGCGTCATCCAAGCGCTGGAAGCCGAAGCCCCGAACCACCCCTGGATACAAGCCATTACACGGTACGCCCCACCTTCAACCGTCTTTACGTGGATCCCCGGACACTGTGGTGTTCCCGGAAACGAGGCTGCGAACAGACTGGCGGGATCTGGTGCATCCCGTCCCCATTACACCAGGAACGTACCCCTCCTCCTAGACGTCAGGCGTTGGATTGTGAATACTATTATGGAAGCCTGGCAGCAGGAATGGTTCCAGTCGCGGACCACTTTCCTGATGAAGATCAATGAAACCGTACGCTCCTGGCTGGACAGCCAAAAGTACAAGGACCAGCGGATCATCTCAAGACTCCGGACCGGCCATGCGAGGATTTCCTGTAATTTCAGTGGGACACCTTTCCGCAAGGTCTGTTCAATTTGCAGCATCCCCGCCTCGGTGGAACACGTGCTGTGTATCTGCTCGGAGTTCCAGAAGCTACGTGAACGCTTGGTTACGACCCCTCGACGTTGGCTGCGCTGATCGCCTTTCTGAAGGAAGCCCACTTGTATGATCAAATCTAGCCCCCCGTCGGTGGCTGCACTGATCGTGTGTTCCTCACGTTTCTATTTTTTCTGCCGTCGGGGCACTGTCTCCTACGGCGGAGCTCTACCTTGTTCGCGCACCCAGTCCTCACCACAGCCCCGATCTAATCCTCACTTTACATTAAGTTTTTAAAATGTTGTCTGTCTCATTCGTTGGGTAATGAGAGCCAGTTATACGTCACGACCATCTGCTGTATAACGTGATGAACTAGCCTACGGCTAAAAATCACGGTAATAAAGAAAAAATCCTCCAATGGACAGGATACCGCTGTACTTTTTGCGGAGTACTTCACGAGTGTTTATCGGAACGATCACTCAAATGAAATCTACTCTACAGTCAACGAATCCGATGAATCGTTAGAGTTATCTCGTGAAGAAGTGAGACAAGGGGTGTCGGATATAGACTCAGGAAAGTCAGCAGGACCACTGAGATTTTCAAATAAGTTGTTGAAGGAATTCAAGGATGAGCTCGTTGAACTCCTGTCTATTCTTTTCAATTCCTCGCTTTCGGATGGTTATTTCTCGGCTCATTGGAAAATCTCACACATAACTCCAATCCATAAGAAGGGCTTTCGTTCTGATGCTGAGAACTACCGGGGTGTATCGATTCAGTCAACGATGCTAAAACTGTTCGAGCGACTTGTCTACTCCCATCTATATGAGAGAATTAACGAGCGGTTTCCAACAACAAAGCATGGGTTCTTGCGACGTTTCGGTCGAGAGTTTACTGATCCTCATGCAATCCTAACTATCTACATTAGCCTCGTTAGGTCCAAACACGACTTTGCGGCGGTGCAAATTCAAAGCCTAGAGGGAATTCAGAATAAGTTCCTAAAATTTGCCTTGAGAAACCTTGGATGGAGTGGAGAACAATTGCCAGCATACCAAGGCCTCTGCTGTCTGGTGGACCTCGACACAGTCAGTACGAGACACAAGATCACCGACATAATATTCTGCGGACGGACAAGGAGTCCGTTCCTCTACGATCGGCTCAGCTTCAACACCAGCCCGGTTTCTCTTGGTCGCCGAAGGGTGTTCGATTCTCCGTTGAGGTCAAGAAAGCAGCATGAGCCTACAAGTAGATTTATGAACGAATTCAACAGACTACAAGATGTAATTTCTACAAATATCACGTCAGAAGAGATTCGAATTAGACTTAGGTTATTTTTAAGAAACCAGATTAATTTGTAATATGTGAAACATGTACTTTCTGTCTAGTTTTTGAATAGGGTAACGGGCTTACAGCCTATAGTCCAAAATACGAAGACCGGAAGACACTGTCCAAAAATTAAGTTTCCTGAAATGTTCCAGAACACACTTGGCCGGTGCACTGAAGTGAAGGTAAAACTCTATTTGAAGCCCGACGTCCGTCCCGTGTACTGTCCAAAAAGACCTGTGGCTTATGCAGCACTTCACTTCCAAAGGTCGATGCCGAACTTCAACGACTGCAAGAAAACGAAATCATTTCGCCAGTGAAGTTTTCTGACTGGGCAACTCCGATAGTTATGGCCCGGAAATCCGACAACGTTTCTGTTCGAATTTGTGGCGACTATTCTACGGGGCTTAACAATGCGCTGTAATCGGATCCTCATCCGCTGCCGATATTTCTCCCAACTCGTCAAAATGGCGTCAGATATTGATTTCAGATCTGTGGACGTCACTCCGTTTCCAAAAATACCCTATTGATGCGTATTTGGCAGTATTTCCCATTTTTTTCTGAAACCGGAAGCTGCCATCTTTGATTCCAAAATGTCGTCGAATATCGATTTCCGAACCCTAGGCATTATCCCGATTCCAAAAATACCCATATTGATTGGTATTAGACTATATGTCTGCTTCCCCCAGGACCCCCTGAATATGTCCGGATGTGGCCAAAGTGGTTCTTGGAACTAAATTTGAGTTCCATTAAACTAGTAATGGAATTCTTATGTAATTTTAAGTGTCGCATGATGAGTTTGATCCTAATCAGATGTTGGTTACTTCCCCCGGGACACTCGGAATATGTCCGGATGTGCCCAAAGTGGTTCTTGGAACTAAATTTGAATTCCATTGAACTAGTTATGTAAGTTGAAGTGTCGAATGATGGGTTTGACCCTAATCAGATGCTGGCTGCATCCCCCGGGACACCCGGAATGTGTCCCGATGTGGCCAAAGTGGTTCTTGGAACTAGATTTGAGTTGAACGAGTAATTGAATTCTCATGTAATTTGATTCGTCATGGGGTTGACTTAGCTTGTAAGATATTATTGTTAGGTTAAGATAGATTTAATTGAAAAAAACATATATGTTAGTTATAAGAATATTTGACCCGAACAAGGAAATTATTGTAGCAGGTGACGCATCCGAAGATGGGGTTGGCGCTGTTATTATGCATCGTTTCTCTAATGGATCAGTGAAGGCTATCGCGCATGTATCAAGATCACTGACTGCTGCAGAGCAGAACTACGCTTAAATCGAGAAAGAAGCCTTGGCTCTAGTTTTTACTGTAACACGATTCCACAAGACGTTGTTCGGTCGCAAGTTCATTTTTCAGACCGACCACAAGCCACTCTTATAGGTTTTCGGATGCAAGAAAGGGATTCCGGTGTACAAAGCCAACCGACTACAACGCTGGGCTCTCACATTGATGCTGTACAAATCTGACATCCAGTTTGTGCCGAATGAAGACTTTGGACACGCTGACCTCCTTTCACGACTGATGAAATTCCATGTAAGAACCGATGAGGAATATGTGATTGCTTCTGTACAAATGGAAGCTGACATCACAGCCGTTCTCAGTGATTGTACTTCAAGTCTCCCCGTGACGTCAGAAATGATTGCTGCTGAAACCTCAAGAGATCCCGCTCTAAAATAGGTGGTGTTCCACATTAATGAAAGGATGGCCCAACCATTCCAAGGCGATCGATGATCCAGTTGTTCAACAATACTTCAATCGCTGAGGCAGTCTTCAAGTTGTGCAGAATTGCATAATGTTCGGCGATAGAGTCGTAGTTCCGAAGCGCTTTCGAAGGCCCATTCTCCAGCAATTACATCGAGGTCACCCGGAAATGGATCGAATGAAGTCCCTCGCACGAAGTTTCGTCTATTGGCCTAACATTGATAGCAACGTCGAGGATTTCGTTCTATGCTGTAAGTTTTGAGCTGAAGCTGCTAAATCAAAACGCAAAAACGACCTGTAATCGTGGCCCATTCCATCAAAGCCATGGGATAAAGTTCACATAGATTATGCTGGTCCGATTGAAGCTTTCTACTCCTTCCTGTTGATCGAAGGGTTTTCAAAATTACCAGAAATCTTCCGCGCACGAACTAGTGCCACATCGGCGACATTGGAGATGTTACAGGAAACCTTTGCGAGGTTTGGTAATCCCAAAACCCTCGTGTCGGATAATGGAATCACGCACCTAACAATTACTGGTTGAGCGCTTTGTGACACACTGAAACGAGGACTAAAGAGCAGGAAACATGGCAGCTTTCCAACACCTTTAAACATTTCTTTCCATATACCGGTCGACGCCCAACCAAAGTGCACCTGATGGAAAATCACCCGCGTAGCTGTTCCTAGGTAGGCCTATCACTACAACCCTAGATTTGCTGAAGCCTTGTGATTCAACGACACCAGTTGTACATAGCAATTCAACCGAGGCCATGGCACCGTGAAGAGATAATTTCCCGCTGATGATTTGGTGAGACTCATCATCTTAACGAAACATTCTGGCTTCCTGGAAAGGTGATCGCGAGAAAAGGTTCCGTCAATTACACTGTCCTTCTGGAGAACGGTCGTCTTATACGCTCTCACACTAACCAACCAAGGCAACGTTATCTGGACGCTAACGTAGCTAACGAAGCTACTGCGCCATGTGATCATCTACCGTGTGGACCGTGCTGCTTGAAGAGTTCATCATAAAGAAGTACAACAACTGGATGAAGTTCTGGCTCGTGACGAACCGTTGACTGAAGAAGAGGTGGTCCCAACTGAAGACGTTGTTCAAAATGAGATACCAGCACCTGTGGACGTTGTTGAAGACATTGTGTCAGTACCTACCGATCATCCCATTCGGAACCGAAGGCTTCCATCATGGCTATCACCTTACGACCTTTTATGAGGTGGGGGATATTCCATAGTAACGACATGAAATGAACATCTTAGAAGCCTATGAATAATCAAGCTGTTAGACACAACTATTTTCTACATTTATTAATGTTCTGACCTCCGAAGTATATATACCTAGCTAATGTCGTTTTCGTTTTTGCGGTGTAGCTACACCGGTGCTACACTGCCGTACACCGAAATATTTTAGGGTGTAGATATAGGATGCACCTTTGTTTACAAACAAATAATGTTGAGCTGTCAAAGACTCGCGCTAATTCCTGCTTACACTACACCAGTGCTACACCGCAAAAACGAAAACGACATAACCAACAACCAGTTTTTTATTGGAGTTTGGTTAAGTAAAGTTGACCTAAGAAAAAATATTCCCTACTGGGACTTTACGCCAGTCCTTAATTTAGTGTTTGTTCTAGATGCACTTTCACAGTAGCTACTTCTTCTTCTTCTTCGCATTTCAAGCTTAATGCTTATCGCATTTCAGGCTTAATGCTTATCGCATTTTAGCTTATTGCGTGCTCTCAACTTAGTGTTCTATATCTAGATGTAATTCCACAGTTACTAATTGAGAGCTTTCGATGCCTGTACTATTTTTGCATTAGTATATTTGTGTGGCAAAATACAATCATACTCTATTGCCCAGGGAAGTCGAACAATTTTCCAACCCGAAACATTCCTAGACCAGACCGGAAATCGAACCCAGCAACCTCCATCATGGTCTTGCTTTGTAGCTGCGCCTTTACCGACTGAGCTAAGGGAGGCCTCCTTTAAGGTTTCTTAAAGATTCCAAAAATGGCCGTCATGATGGTTGATATGCCCTATCACTTCAAGTTTTCTAGAGTACCAATCTCGGACGCTATTGAGACACCGCTCATGAAATTGGAACCCCCTGTTTGCTACACTGCACGTTAACTTCCAGTTTCCTTGTATGTTGTGAGGTGTAAATGAGATTAATGAGAAATAAAACTTCCACAGCGATTCAACTTAATTTAGAGCTTCCTAAGCCTATACCATTTTCAACAATCATATGTCGTTTTCGTTTTTGCGGTGTAGCCACACCGGTGCTACACTGCCGTACACCGAAATATTTTAGGGTGTAGATATAGAATGCACCTTTGTTTACAAACAAATGATGTTGAGCTATCAAAGACTCGCGCTTATTCCTGCTTACACTACACCAGTGCTACACCGCAAAAACGAAAACGACAATAGAGTAAGGTGGGGCAACAGTTCGTTATGAACTTTCCGAAGCCCGTAAAAAATAAATCTTAATACTTTGGTACTTGTTTGGAAGATCTTTTAGAGTCAGACTTTTTCCCAAAACATCACTAAAATTGGTCATGTTTTCGAAGAATTATAGGCAAAAGTTTGTTTCGGGATGATATATTATAACATTTGTACCAAGTTTTGGGCGTACAACAAGAAAAATCCACTACTGAGAGGGTAATTTTATTGCAAGGCAAAATTGCTTCTTGAAGATGCAAAAAATTGTAACCCAATTGTAATTATTCTGGAAAATTACTGTGTTCCAGTAAATTGTGTTGTTCACCCAGTTCTGACAATATCTGGACACAAACATGTGATTTCTTTATGTCTTTATGTAATGAACTGAAAATTAATCAAAGCTTCGCATTTAAGTTGTAACCCTTGAATTAGGGATCACGTGTATGGAATTAGCTTGATTCCAAATGCTTGGAATTTTGCGATATTTTATTTTTTCAACTAAGGTCCATCTTTCTTTGCCCCGTAACGTGGGTAGATCACCTTTTCGTGGTACGTTACGGGATGTAAGATCTACCACCGATTCCTAGTCTTGACTACTTCAAACTAGGGGAACAGGATTTTACAGTAATCAAAGGAACACATCTTAGTCCTTGTTACTTTTTATGCCTTGTTGATAGTGATAAGTCCTCGGGTTGCGTGGACCGAGGATGATCTTGAAACAAGGAAAAAATGAGTTAGTTAGTCTTCACCTATGTGATTCCTAATCTTCTATTTGTTGTTTCCTAGTTTGAAGTGGTTAAGACTAGGGTTCTGATGCATGGTCATTATCGGTGTCATGTCTTGTTTTTTTTGCTAAGGAATCCAATTTTGACTGACAAAGGGGCGCGCCTTTGGAGGGTGTTTCAACACTCCGAAGGGTATAAATAGCGGGACCTTTCAATTAGAATCGATTCCTTGCGATAAAGGCAAGAATGACAACTGTATCAAAACCGAATACTTCATCATTTCTCAATAGTGATGGAGTAATACGACAGGCACTAAACTAAGGACACGGGATATACTACAATAGATCAAATTACTGGTCGCAGTGGTTTTATGTCCCGAACAGAGGAAAAAAAAAAAGGTTCATCTTTTGCCCTACCTAACCTTACTCGATAAATTTCAAGACCTGACCGGGAATCGAACCCAGCCGCCTCCAGCATTGTTTTCCTTAATAGCTAAGGGACGCTCCTACTACCTTGCGAATATTCGTTGGATAATTCCAGAACAACATGTGAAAAGGGCATACAAGCTTTTTGTAAACAAACCTTCTTATGTCCTTTCCTCGCCACCCATATGACACCAACGCAAACCTTTAACATCACCGGGTAGGGGACACTTTCCCCTTCCCGATGATATTGCTGGTTTGAGTGGGCGACCCTCGGTTGGTGAGAAAAGGGCCTACAAAGGTTTGTTTACAAAAAGCTTGTATGCCCTTTTCACATGTTGTTCTGGAATTGTCAAACAGAAAAGTTGAATATTAGTACGCTTACCCTATTAATTTTTGCTTCCATTCTTGATTCTGATTATTTTCAGGCTGCCATGATCAGAGCGAAAGCCTAATACTCCGTTTACACTACAGCCTTTCACCGTTATCCGTTTGAAACAGATTTCCCATGCACAAACAAAAGGTTTTGTAAGAGAAATCCGTTTTAAAGAATCCATACCTCATGTTTTCACTGGAAATAATATGTACGACGTTTGAAATCAAGTAATATAGGCTGTAGTGTAAACGGCTATTTGAGTCTGCTGCGGCGAATGACAATGAAATGTTCAAACCTCTATAATGAAGAATAATAATAATAATAATTTGAGCCTACTAGGTTTTGTTTGCAATTTTAATTTATTAGCTCAACAACTAGCAGAATTATATGTATCAAGTAAACAAAAATCTTAAATATGTTGACTTCCAAGCCTCAATTGAAGCTGAGATTGAAAAACTCATTTAAGTGTGAAAAGTTTTGCCATAATGGGAAAGCATAGCAAAGAGAAACGTAACAAGTATCCACGGAGTTGGGAGTAGCTGCATACGGGCCCACCAAATTTTGAAATCGGATGTGCGGAAACATGAAAACTAACAAACAATATGATTTCTATTGTGACTTACCTGGGACGGCGAGGATCGGCGATCTGGTCCCACCCTAGGAGATTCCTACTTTTCCGAAACAATCCCTAACGAAGAAACTCTTAAATAGGTACCGTTTTCACTGGATCCAGAAAAGCACCAACCTCAGCTGCTTTTCCCCGCTGAGTCGTAGCACTTGCACGAAACAAAAATCACCATACACACACGTATATCTATATATCTTCTGCCCTTCTATCCAATGGAGGAGGAGGGATCCTTTGCTAGGGAGAGAAGCTCGGGGTCTTCGTTCTGCGCTTTTGTTTGCACAGGTTTGCAACGAAACACTTATCTTCCGGATTACGGCACTTCCAGGATGTTCCACGCTGAGTGCAGTTGTAATGGCGGAGAATCCACTTTTTTTGCTATCCCTCGGTATATAGCTAGTGATATTTCGGTTTTTAATTCCGATCGGAGGCAGCAAGAAGCAAGTCTGGCGAGAGTTTTTCTAAATACAATCTGACAGCTTGAAAAAAGCGGCGTTCAATCCGTGTCAGGGTGGCCAGCTGAATTTGGTGTGGCAGTGAGGTTTAGACTTGGGTTAGCAAGCGTTTGATACGGCAAGACTTTAATGAACTTGTAATTTTTTTGGGTAGAAATGTAAACATATTTTCAACGAAATCAATAGAAAAAGATTTGCGTTTCGAATATTGGTCAAAATTCCAAATGAAAGCATTTATCGATTTTGAGAAATATTGAAGTGGAAACATCAAATGTTGCAGATTGGCAACCATGAAGAGTGGGGACTTTGTGTTTTCCGTGAGCAATTTTTACAGCGGTACGGTTGTGCAAATTAAAGAGCAAGGTATTGAATGGATAGGGGTTAGAATAATGATACAGTGGGGGAAATTCGTTTAAACGCAATGTCATTTTTGCGTTTATTTTCAACACAAAAGATCGAGACAAAAAATCAAATATAGTTTGTCATAGCCCATCAGAAGTCTCGTATTTGAGAACACAATTTGATTGGAAGTTCATAATGACTTTTGAAAAAATCCCAAAAAAGGTGATTTTGGGGGGGAAATTCGTTTAAACGCACTTTTAGTTTTATTAATCAAATCGAGTTCACAGTTCAAAAATCAACAATAAACAATAGTTAATACTTCGTTTGCTTTCCGTTTTTCTGAATAGTTTCGAAAATTCTGTTCGGCATTGATTTCACCAGCTTCTGCAGAGTTGTATCAGGTATCAAGCTCCAGGCTTCTCTTACGGCTGACTCAAGTTCACTGCCTTCCGCCTTTGTAAACCTGTCGTGCCAGGATGCCCCACAAGTTCTCGATAGGATTTAGATCCGGACTACGAGCTGGCCAATCCAAAAGACTGGTGTCTCGTTCAGAAAACCATTTCAAAGATTGCTTGCTGACATGAATTGCTGCATTATCCTGTTGAAATACGAAATTTTCCGGCATAACGTCTTCAGTAAACGGGATCAAAACATCTTCCAGAAGCTCCAAGTACTTTCCCGAATTCATCCTGGTTGAAATGGTGGCAATAGGGGTCTTTCCATGGATCGAAAAAGCGGCCCAACACATTAGAGTACCACCTCCAAAGTTCCTGCTCAACTTAACCTGCGGAGATTTCCTAAAATCGTGCCAATAATATGCGGTGCAGTCTGGGCCGTCCAAATTGAATTTCTTCTCGTCAGAAAAAATAACATTGTCCCATTCCGTAGTCCAAGACATGTATTTTTTAGCGAAATTCAATCTGGCGCTAATGTGGGCCGGTTGAAGATTGGGTTTTTTTGCTTTTTTGGTGTACTTTAAGTGGCCACTTCCATGTAGAATCTGCCGTACACGCCTCTTAGAAATGGAAAGCCCCATTTCTTGCTTGATTTGCGCAGCAGAGAAGTTTCCAGAGTCTCCCATTTGTATGATTTGGTTTCGGACACGGTTGGTGATCTTCGAATTTCCCTTTGTTTTCTTTTTTACGCCATACGTCTTGCCTTTTTTCAGCAGGTTCCTGATTGCTGCTTCCGATCTGTGGATCACACGTGCAATTTTGCGATTGCTCTCACCGCGACTTTTGAGTTCTCGAACCAGTATTTGCTCCGACTGGCTTAAATACTTTCCTTTACCCATTTTGCCGAAAACAAGCAACAACTACCGCGCAACGCAAATTTAAACTCGTGTTAATGGCGAACGAGGGCTATACAGTGTAAATATGACAGATGCGCAAGATAACAGGAGCATAGGTACGCTCAATGCGGCTTTACGTTAGTGTGCGTTTAAACGAATTTCCCCCCCAAAATCACCTTTTTTGGGATTTTTTCAAAAGTCATTATGAACTTCCAATCAAATTGTGTTCTCAAATACGAGACTTCTGATGGGCTATGACAAACTATATTTGATTTTTTGTCTCGATCTTTTGTGTTGAAAATAAACGCAAAAATGACATTGCGTTTAAACGAATTTCCCCCACTGTATATGCAGATTTATCAGTAGTGATTTATAATTGTAAAAAAGTTACTAAAAAGTGACCTAAGAAATGAAAAGTAGTCGGCACACCAATTAAATGTTTGATGTTTTAGATTTATTAAATTAGTATCTCATAAACACATAAATTTCTTTAATGTTTTTTGCAGTTATAATGATTTTTGTTGTACTTCCCTGAATTTAATTGAACTAGCCTAAACATTTTTAAGCTTCCGCGAACTTCTGAACTTATGTGAAGACCTCAATAATTTTCTGAACATCTTTGCAGTTCTCATCATCTGGGAATCTTTTTAAAATTTCATACTAATTTTCTAAAACTAATGGAACTTACCCTAATAAAAAATAACCATAAACGAACGATAACCCAAATCATTGAACTATTCCACAAATGGTTTGGATGATACCCAGAACACGTTGTTAAGCAAATTAACCATACAATTTTTATTAGGGTAACTTCCCCTGAAATTTGCCCTATTTTGTAGCTTACTAAACTTCCTCCATTTAGCTAATTGTCATGAATGTTCCTGAAGTTATCGGATCTTCCCTTAAGTTTCATACACACAAAGAAAAATCGTTGCTCAAATTAAAAAATACATTGATAGAATTAAAAGCATGCATTGGTTCTTTTTGGTAGAAAGCGGTTCGCTTTCAAAACAAAAATAGGCCAACTGTCAAATCAAAAGTTGCCCGGCCACTGCTTTTAAAAGTTAAAACTTTCAAATTGAATTGTACTTCTGTCAAATGAAAAGCATAACAGTGTTTAAATTAAAAGCAGATTATTTTTGATTCAAAATAAACTTTTGGCCTGAAACTTTGGTATAGTTAGGATAACATATATTTAATTTAAAAACAAATACTTTCATCATTATTACGTCCGTTTTCATTCCAAAATCTTATAAATATTCACTTAAAAGTTTTTATTATTTGAAATAAATGTACAAAAATATGTTTATTGATATTTTAAACAATCAATATTAAATATATGATGTCGAATTTCCTTCTCCCGAGTGGGGAAAACTTCACATCGCATTGTACAGTGTCTCGCCCGCTCGCTCGCCCGTATGATCCCAGGAACTTTTTAAACTATTTCCAGTAGATTATTGATCAACTTTGATCGTGTTGCGGGTGGACTCCTAACGCTTCCCATGGTCATTCAGTGGCGAAAAAAAGATTTCGAATTTTAACGCTACTTCCACCTGTTTGCAGTCAGAAGTGTATTCGTTCCAATTTGCTTGTCCAAGGTGTCAACAATCTGCTCAGCCTTGTCTCCTTTCATCAGGAGTTTGCGTATCAGTTGTACAACTTTTATTTTCAAAAATGAGCTTTTAAAATTACGAGTCGAAAGTGAAAGAAATATTGTCAAACCAAAATAAATAATTTTCAATTTGAGTTTTTCGTAGTTAAAACTACGAATTTAGGGAAACTTTTAAATTGAAATTGCATTATTTTTATTACAAAAATTTTTGTTTTTTGTGTGTAGACTTATGTGAAGTTCTCGACAATGTTTCTGAAAATCTTTGCACTTCTGTGAAGTTTTCGAAGTTTTTCTGAAATGTCTGGAACTTCTTTAAGCTCCCTCAATTTTCTTGGAATCAAAACAAAATAATCAATGTATTTCTATGGCTTTCACTAAAGAATTTTTCTGAAGTTCATGAAATAACTCCTTGATTTGTCTACATCAATTAATAACTTCTTCAATTGTCTAGACTTTTCTTATGTTATTATAACTGTCTAACAGATTTCTGAATTTCCTTAAAGCTCATTAGACTGCTCTGAATTTCTTAGTATTTTTTAGAAGAACCGAGGGGGCGACTCTATCTAAGATGCAGGAAATTTTTCTTCTGATGCATTAGGTTGTCAAAATCTGAGTAAACGAGAAATGTCAAACTGAGTAAAAGCCACTCATTCAGCCGAATCCGGGACTTGGAAAAAATGCCAGCCGTGTCGGAGTAGGAATTGCATGCAAATAAAAAAAAAACTTTCCGGTTGAAAATATCACAGAGTGGTTTTGACTCCTCTGTGCGAGAACGTCGTTCACACAAAAGTGAGTAAAAGTGCGCTTACTCACTTTTGAGAAGCCACACTTAACGCTGAAATGAGCATGTTCGACTCAATATTGAGTTGTTGCGAGTTACCGTGCATAGATTTTTAGATCATTTGCGTATACGAGCTTACACTTGTGGCCAAGGGTAGATGCAGCGCCATTGAAAAATAACACAAACAGTAACGGTCCCAAATTTCCTTGCAGGACACCGGACGTGCTAGCAAATGGCGATGAAACCTCGGATGAAACATAAGATACATGTTTAACGTACAGCGTTCTGCCAGTCAAGTACGATGACAACCACGACACCAATCGATTTGAGGATTCCAACCGCGATAGCTTGCAGAGCAACACATTATGATCAATTTTGTCAAAAGCCGCCTTTAGGTCCGTATAGATTATGTCAACCTACGCTTTATCTAGAGCAGCCCCGCAATCTGAATGCTATCGTAATTTTCACTAACGTCAGGAATGCATTAAACTCGGGGCTGCTAGTATTATAATGCTTAGTTGATTATTCAATTTTTCATGACCTCTTGATCGCTGGGAATGCTTGAGTATATTTGACGTGGACAAAAGAGTGAACAAAGTGGTGAACGCCGAACCTTTTTCACATTTATATCGCTGTGAAGTAACTGAAAAATGTTGAGGGAATTTATATCTGTAACTATAACAGCATGGACCCAAAGGGTAAGGACCTCCTTCACGCGATTTTTTTTTGGTTCACCTAGCTGTTTTTTTTAGTGTACCTGGTGCACCCGGTACTAGAGCAAAAGACAGCAATTTGTACCAGAACAGGTGTCAAAAGTGACACAGACAGCACAACTTCCAGCAAAAGCGCCAGCAAAAAAAAAGCGTGGTACCCGCTGCCGTGGCAGTCAGTTTGAGGTGTGTCATATCCCTTAGCACGTTTCTTTTTGTTTCGCCATTTTGAGATTTGAACTCGTGACTTTGGCGTGAGAGGCATGGATGCTAACAAAAAAAAAAGCGGAACTAGTTAAAATAGTTAATTATCTAATCTAATAGTTCATTAGCTCCAGGGCCCTTGAACATCATATATTTGGATTGTCCCCAGGAGGATTGTCCGCAGGAGGATTGTTCGAAGAACGATTGTACCCAGGAAGATTGTTCGAATAAGGATTGTCCGCAGGAAGATTGTTCAAAGGAGGATTATCCACAGGAAGTTTGCTCGGGAGAAGGTTGTTCGAAGGATTGTCCGCAGGAATATTGTCCACTACCGACGAGTCGAGGAGAAAGATTAACCGGAGGAAGAGGATTGTCCGCGGGAGGATTGTTCGAAAGAGGATTGTTCGAAGAAGGATTGTCCGCAGGAGAATTGTCCGCAGGAAGATTGTCGACAGGAAGATTGTTTGGAGGAGGATTGTCCACAGGAGGATTGTTCGAAGGAGGATTGTCCGCAGGAAGATTGTTCAGAAGAAGATTGTCCACAGGACGATTGTCCGCAGGAAGATAGTTCGGAAGAGGATTGTCCGTAGGAGGATTGTCCACAGGAAGATTGTTCGAAAGAGGGTTTTCCGCAGAAGGATTGTTCGAAAGGTCCACAGGAAGATTGTTCGAAAGAGGGTTTTCCGCAGAAGGATTGTTCGAAAGAGGATTGTCCGCACGAAGATTATTTGGAGGAAGAGAATTGTCCGGACTCCGCAGGAAGATTGATCAGAGGAAGATTGTCCACTGGACGATTGTCCGCAGGAAGATAGTTCCAGGAAAGATCTTCAGAGACAATCAATGACGTTCAAGGAAAACGTTGGGGAACGACACTCATCCTGATGCATGTTGCTTCAAAAAAGATATGGGAACACTGTGACGGCATGCGAGTGGAATTAAAAGAATTTTTTGAATAGACAGAAGGATCAACAGGGATATTCAGGATATACTGAAAAATAGACAAAAAATCGAATAAGGATGTCTGGAGAAAAAAAGTTCTGACTGATGTTCTGGATATATAAGCAGAATTTTATGGATAAATTTGATGGGGATACAAGATGCATCCGAATGTATCGTTCCCCTGGAACATATAAAGAGCTTCAGACTTCCGGATAATCTTCCTCCACGTACTCCTTGACTCGTCGGTAGCAGACAATTCTCCTTCAAACAATCCTCATGCGGACAATCCTCCTTTGAACAATCTTCCCGCAGACAATCATCTGACTGGCGGATTCGGTCCTCGCTACACAAGGATCGTACCTGTGTCCGCCTTGCATGATTTCTAGTTGGACCCCCAACAATTAAGTCATAAAACTGATTCCATTTTGATCAACATCAACAATGACATTAATCCTATCTCTGAAGTTCAGGTTAGGAAAAAAGTTAGGTTAAAACAAAACGTCAGCTATTGTTGGTAAACATACCGACAGCATTGTTGACAGCATTCCCCCATGCACTCAAAAATATAACTACCCACAAATCTAAAAAACCTACTACTGCGTGCACTTCCATTCTATTACCGAGAACCATGATTTTTCGATAAATTCCTTCCACGCTATTGGTCCTGACTTTTGGGTCCATGGTTACAACGTCCCTAAAATTTCCGCTATTTTCCAGAAAATCATGGCCAAAGCTCTCACAACCGCTTATTTATCTTCCCTTATACCCCGTTCACATTACAGCCTATATCGCGTATAGGCTGTCTTGCAATGAGCACTCATACATAGGATTTCCAGTGAAAACTAGATGTGTGACTGCTCATTGCAAGACAGCGTATATCACGTGATATACGCTGTAATGTGAACGGGGTATTAAGATCTTTTAATACCCCGTTCACATTACAACGTATATCACGTGATATACGCTGTCTTGCAATGAGCACTCATACATCTAGTTTTCACTGGAAATCCTATGCATGAGTGCTCATTGCAAGACAGCCTATATTACGTGATATAGACTGTAATGTGAACGGAGTATAACTCAACCTAAGTTTTGGTACTTTTGTCGACACTTTTGTGCAGTTTCTGAAATTTTCCTGAAGCTAATGGGACTGCCCTTCGACTTTTTGACAAGCACTTTGACTTCTTGAAATTTCCGGAAGTATCCTTCTTTTAAATTTTTAGAAATTCCTATAAATTCTTATTACTGAAGGTTCCCGTATTTTTTTGATGGTTATGAAACTAACATTAAGTTTTCAACATTTTACAGAAGATCTTGGAACTTCATTAAAATTCTTTTCGTTCGACTGTATTCTTGAAAGATCTGTACAGTTCCTTTTTTTGATGTTAATTGAACGGTCCTTGTGTTCTCAAAGGTTTCAAACCTCCTTAAAGTTTGTTGAAGTTAACAGAGAATTTTCACGAAGTTCTCTGTTCGTCTTCTTAGTTCACGAATTTTCCTGAAGTTCATTTACCTGCCCTGTAGTTTTCGTAATTTACCCTTAAAGATCTCAAAGTTCTAAACTTTTCTGTAGCTCTCGGAACTTACCTGAACCCGAAGTTTTGTTTGAATTCCTCTGAATATTTCGGATATTCCCCAAAGTTCATGGAACATCCTGAAGTATTCAATATTGCTCCCTGATTAGTTGTGGACTTCCCTTCATTTCTCAGAACTTTTATACAATTTTTGTTCCCTAAAGTTAATGAAACTGTCATGAAGTTACACGCAAAAAAAAAACGGATAATACATTCACATACTGAACATATTCGTAAATGCATGCCAAGCAACATACATGTTCTATACCAGATTATATAACCATTGTATGACTGGTTCTGGTTGAAAAGTAGTTTACTCAACATAATTCTATGAATTTGTGTTACTTGGGATATCATCCGGCCGGCACTGTGATATTCCATTTCCATTCAGCTCGACTAGTGGTGATTTTTGCGCATGTCATTTATTTGTCATGGTGATTTCTCTTATTTTACATTGATGATTTATCTGCACATGGATTACAGAGACAAAAATAGTTTTTCCTTTGCTTTTAAATCTGAAATATTTCATCTTCAAATACGAATATCCACCCGATGGAATTCACGGTTTGTGAATTTTTGTGGTGGGCATTAGGTAATCTCCCAGAAACGGCGAATGATCTCTCATGATCACTTTACACGGATTTTTTTTTTATAAATATGGTTACATAAGGAACAATCAGTTTTATTGTTTGTGAAAATTAATCCATCATCTGGGAGATTAAACTTTGCACGCTGCCTCGATTGCTCGATACCCTTTCTGTTTGTTTCTTTTTTTTCCCGACAAATAAGTATCTAAACGTTAGATTAATCTTTCATGGAAATTTTTGACATTTCTTTAGATGAAAATAAATACAATAAATAATGCAATAAATACAGCTGGGATAAATATTATAAATAATAAATAGTTCATAAACGGAGTAAACAAATGATAAAATTTAGGGAAATAAACTGAAACTAGTACATTCCATTAATCACAGTTTCTCGTTTTGGAGTGTTCAAGTTGTTGTCTAATCCCTCGGGATGGATCAGTCTTTTCCTCTAGTGTTTTTTATGCATTCGCTGCTACAGAGATCTGAACTCTACAAGTGTACACATTCATATTGCAATTTTGTATTTTTTTTTTGTTTTTGAAAGAGTGACTTATTCACAGCAATTTATTTTTTGTGAGGGATTAGTTTGTTCGAGGGGTTTGAAACCAAATGGGTACTTGAGATAAATAATAATTGATAACCTATGAAAACTAATGTTGCACACCATGTCATTTGACTAGAGTAGAACTATCAATATTTCTTAAACCTTGAGACTTAGACGAAGAATATCAGTCAAAAGTACAGAAGCTAACAACAAGGACAAAACACGAATGCAAATTCGGACTAAGATCGTTTCTTGTGTTTACACGCTTGCACAGCATTCCAGAAATTATCCTAAACGAATCGTAAAATGACTGATTTCTATTTACATGGGTTGCTTTGTCTGGGCGAAGGAAAATTAAATTTTTTCCCCGTCGACGCCGACTAGATTGAATGAACGATGATTGTGTTATCCATTTTGAAGTTATTTTTAGTATTGTTTTTAAATTGAGTCAAAATCTCGATTTATGTACAGTCAGAGCTTAACCGAATACTAACTTTAAAACTTGGACTAGAGATATTCCACATGAATGAGAGGAAAGTTGATGCAAACTCTTTGCAAGTGTTGGTTCAGTTTCCTGGGAGATAACATAGCTTGCATTGATGGTCGATATTGTTTCTGTGTGGTCTAATAAAATTATACGACTAGATATGGTGATGACAAAGGGAGTTTTGGGTGAGAGGTTTCTCAGTGTTCGATGATTGTTGCCTCTTCTTTGTTTACCTCGCCGATGGCTGCCATCGCTTTGGTCAGTGCCGACGCATCCTTTAAGCTTAGCACCTGCAGTACCTGCGGTTCGGTACCCGGAGGTCCTTGAATCATCATCTGGTGCATTCCGGGACCTACTGTTATTGTCTCCATGGTTTCGCCATTTTCAACCTAGAGAGGGAAATGTCAAAGCAATCGAGATTAATTAAATTTTGATCACAATTCAAAACGTAACCAACACGATCAAACTTTTTCTACTGTCTCAACTTTTACAAATACAATCTACTCACTAGATCACACATCTGGAAAGAGATAATAAAGTTACAATTAGGGTATGTTCATTTCTTTTAAGTGGGTCTACTGTACCGCGTACCAAATGATAAAAACGGCTAAATAAAAGACTGTAACTAAAAAGTTTGACTCTTTATTCGATACAAATAAAATTTATGTATATTTTTTTCCTATCACTAACAACTTATACAATACCGAATGACTAATAAACACACGAAATCATATGAATATAGATGGAAAATAAATAAGGCAAATCACAAACACGCATACTAAAACATAAGAAATGGCACAAAACTAAAAACATACATGAACCTAACCTAACAAAAAAGGTAATCTAACTTAAGAACTAATCGGTTTTCGTCGAAAAACGCTGACTAAGAGAACCGAACGACATTCATTTCCTTAAACAGACAAAACACGTTCGATGTTCCCGTTGATAAGACTTTTTTTTTTGCATAAATAAATGTTTCAAATTTCTCTAACCCTATAAGTAGATAATCGATTGGCAACATAAATTGCACGGTTTATTTTTCGTTTAAACGTCCCATCATTCGAATAAATAATCTAAGGCCACGTATTTACGGACGACCAGAGGTACAGAATAATGATAGGTATTAATGCGTATTGATTTCTGTTATAATAATAAGGGATTACCGCTTCGCATTCGCAGATCGAATAAAAGGCATCTCAGCCGACTAGATTGTCATTTGCTTGTATTTATAGGTAGGTTTATAATGGCTGACCGCTCCGACGGCTGCTGCGATCGTGGAAGAAATGTATGGACTAACGTAGGATTTCTTCATTTGAAGTTCATGCACAAAATGATTTATTACTGAGGACAATTATTGCCTCGGCGTACGGATGATTTGAATTATAGGGAGTTCAACTCAGAGTTTAATTAAAAGTTTCTATGGGAATGAATACAGTCATCATTTGCTCGGTGTTGTTTTTAGTTGTGCCCAAGGGTTTGGTCACTCCGCACAGTGTGCCAAAAGCACAGTTGGGCACACTATTTGGCACTGTTTGGCACCCATTGGCATCGATACTGCGTTGAACATGAGCGAACCGATGACTACTGACTTATGTTAAAACATTCTAGGACCAGGATGATACGAGCTGTTCGTTATGAAACCGAGCTGTTATGTTTGGCCTAAATATACCAGCCATTTCATCCAGTCCGGTGGCAGAAACGTCATCCACCAACATTTTACTTGAAGCCGAAGTTGTTGGTTCTTTGGCTCGATTATCTGCCAATCTAAGACAGTTGATGCAAACATTGATAAATTATGCTTTCATTAATGATTATTCACATAAGATTTTTAACGCATACGTGTCGTCAATGCACATATAAACATAGCATACAAACTATGGGCTACAGTACTGACACCACAATCAGCAACCATTTTTACAGCCAATGAAGATCCCCGGATGAGCTTCTCTCGTTCCTAATTGTTGACGGGTGGTTTGAATCGATAGCAGAAGCTTGCTGCAGTGGGTGTACATTTTGAATGCCACCAGATGCGTTTCGATGGTGTCTTTTTTGCGCGGTCGGAGGAACTTGATCGCTATCTTTCGGTTGGGCCAGATTGTCCGGTTTCAGCATGTCCCACTGGAGTGCCTCTAGATCATCGTCTCTTGATTCGGATTCCACTGATATTTATGTTGTTTCTTCAAAACAAAACATTTGAACTGTCAAATTAACCGGGCTGCCAAACATGCCATTATTACCAAGCAAACAATGTCAGTTCGCTGACTGGCACTCTCGGCACTGCAGGCACAGCAATTTTTTCTAATACTAATCTAATGTTCTTATGATTTTTGGAACTTTAAGAGAGAGCAGTCCCGTTTTTACCCCCCCCCCCCCATGGCCTCAATTACCTCGGCCCAATGACCCTGCACCTCTCACAGACACTCACGGCTGGATAGATTTTAGCGAATATTTCAGATTTCATTAGGTTCGATTTGAACGTCTAGAGATCTTTGGGGAATTATAGAGATCCTATGGGAAGTTCCAATAACTTCAGGAAAGTTCCAAGAACTGCAGGATAGTCCAGACTTTCGTAAGCTCTAAGTTCAGAACAGCTCCATGAAGTTCAGGAAAATTTCGAGAACCATAAAAAAATATCGTATCCACCTCTGGTCAGAGATCTCCAGAGAACTGAACAAAACTTCATTGAACATTCGGGAACTTCTATGAAGCCCAGAAAATTCAGGAGAAATTTAAAGGATACGTAGGACAGTTCCTTTTATTTCAGGGCAGTACCAAGAACTTAAGGAGAATTCACTGATCTTAAGGGATGCTCCGAGATCATTTTAACAAATCAAAGAACCTATAAGGTTTGTTAAATAAATTTCAAGGAAATTGCAGGAACTCTACACAAGTTCTGGAAAACTCGGAGAATTTATAAAACTTTAAGCGTTTTTTTTTTAATTAATTTTGTTGTCAAGACTCAATTGCTCCGAGAGTTTCATTAAAATTTTGGAAGAAACATGAACATCAGGAAGTTGTGAACAGATTTTAAGAAAATTCCGTTATTTCCATGGAAAGTTTAAAAAGCTACCAAAAATAGCAGTAACCTCAGCGAAGATCAGTGAATTTTTGGAAAGTTTACAGATTTTTAGGCAGTTTCATTATATATAAGGAAGCTCTGAGCACTTCAAGGACGATCAGAGATCTTCTTCCCAATCATTTAAGGAAAATTGTAAGAATTCCAAGGAATTATGAGATATTCTGAGAATTTTGGAAACTTCATGGATGTCCAGATAAGTTCAGGAAAAATTAGAATTTTAGGCAACGTTCCGTGAAGATTTCAAAACTTAAGGAAAACTACGGGAATTATTTGAGATTCATGGAATATCAAGGAACTTAAAGGCAACTAAATTAAGTTTTAAAATATATTGATAAATTCAGGGAAGTCTTGGGAACTTAGGGGAAGGTCAAAGATCTTTCTGGTAGTCCCAACAACATAGGGAAAGCACAACAAACATCAGGTTAGTCGCTATTGGGGAGATTTTAAAATGATGATGAATTTGTTTAATGAGCTTCAGGAAAATGTTGAGAACTTAAGTGAAAATCTTATTTCGTTTAAATTTCAGGTAAAGAAGCTACAACAAATTCAGGAAAGTCCAAAGAACTCAAGGGAAGATAAGACATTTCAAGAAAATTGCGGGAACTTCCGGAATTCCAGAAAAGCTACCAAAAATTCAGGAAATTCCAAACATTTCAAGGGAAGCTAAGCAATTTCTGGAAAATTTCGGGAACTTCTAGAATTTCAGATAACATAAGGAAAGATTAGAAAACTTCAGAGAAATTCTAAGAACATCAGGAAATGCAAACACATTTTTAAAGAACTTCCGTAAGCTTCAGATACGTTTCTGAGGGAACATTACGGAAAATCTATCAATTTCTGAAAAAAAACGGGAAATTTTGGGAAGTTCTCAAATATTTAAGAAGTCCAGAAACATCAGAGATGTTTAACAAACTTCAGTTTTTTGGGGAACTTTATGAAAGTCCATAGTAGAGCCACAGTCAAACAGACATAACACTCGCAAGTTGTTCATCGAACAAGCATTTAACGGTCTATTTAAAAGTATCACCTGTGGCGTGCATAGTCTTTTCCCTTGCGTTTGACGTTACACACTACCGCCATCTGTTCAGCGTACTAAGTATTCTTCTTTGGTACTACCCACCACAGTGTACTCAACAGATGGCGGTAATGTTTTAGCGACGATGTTTTACAATGAAAAATATTCAATGTTATGTCTGTTTGTCTGTGGTAGGGCGTCACAATATCAGCTTCAATCCATAAAATCGATGCAACGAAGATACTCTTTTTAGGTTGAAGTCGAACAGCTTCGCAGCATTCTAGAACCTCAGTCGGCGTCCACAAACAAATTTTCAATCGCTTGTCTCGCTTTCTTCTGTCGCCAATAAAGTCTTTCATTCAAGCTTTGGTGAATCGAACGAGTGAAAGAGCGCTTGACTTTGATAGTTTCGTCTTTTATGAAACACATATTAACAGAGGTTTCATGACGTGTATGACGGAAAATGAAAAAAATATATATTTTAATCATTTTTAAGTGAAAACACTTGAACACACCACTTATTTATCTAAAACAAAGTAACCAAAATGGGATATAACCCATTTTAAACAAAAAGCAAGAGCTATGATAGAGTGTCGGTGAGAGAGATTGAAAGCCATAAGGAGGTTTCGTTTCATCTCGATAACCGACATTCCTTTCACTGAAAGTGCTGATCAAAGCAACGACGAGAAAATCCACAGCCAACCATTCATTGTAAGCGTGCTTCTTTTTCATTTTCGTTTCGTGCTGATAGTCTAGCTAGGTTTTATATAAATGTAGCGTTAAACACGATGCTTGAAAAAGACAAATCTCTAGTTCATTTTAGAGCTTCGACCATGTAGAACCCTGCTCTAGAGAACTCAGAAGAACGTTGGAGAAGTTCCGAGAAAATCAGAGAAACTTAGGATGGTTCCATAAATTTCACAAAATTTACAAAAAATCCGAAAGCTTCATGGACATTTTTAAGGCTTTATGACGTTGATAGAATTCTAGAAAAATTGTGGGATCTTCAGGAAATTGAGGGAGTCCAGAAAAGTTCAGGGAAATTTAAAGATTTCAAGGGAAGTGCCGTGAGCATCAGATTTATTTTCAACAGTTTCGAAAGAACTTCAAGGTAGTTCCATTATCTCTAGAAAAATTGTGTAGCTTTTAAGAAGTTCTAAGGACTTCCAGTGAACTTCAAGGATGTCCGGAGAATGTAAGGGAATCCTTAGCACTTCGAAGATATGTAGAGAATTTCATAAATGTTTACAGATTTTTAGTTCCCCGGAACATACCTGAAAATAATGAAACTGCAGTTCTCTGTGTTTCCCTTTTCAGGGAACTTATCATAGTTTCTCAAAATTTTCCTGAAGCTCTTGGTGCTGTCCTCAATTTATAGAATTTTACATTTACAGATTTTAGTACTACTTAGTACGCTCTCCCAAAACTTACAGATCTTTAAATTTCCCGAAAAATTTGAACATAATATCTTGAGATCTCTGAGCTTCCTTGGAAATCTTTAGAGCTAGTTTCCACAACTCTCCCAAAGTTCTGCAGAGTTCTTCTCAGATGGTTTTTTGACAAGTTTTCCGATTTTCCCTGAAGTCATAGAATTTCGTAAAAGCTACTGCAGTTTCCTTGAAGTTGAAGCTGATATGCCCATAATTTTACAGGAGTTCCCTTATTATCCCATAGTCAGTCCATGAAATCTTCGCGAAATCCTCGGTATTTTCTTTCATTCCTCAAAACATCTTCCTACAATTATATTTCCTGAAGTTCTCGCTACCCTTCTTATGATGTTCCTGGAATTACACTGAAATTAATAAAACTGCCCTAAAGATCTCTAAACTTCCCGACGTTTTCAACTAAGTTTAAAGGCGTGAAGATCATATGTTAAATTTCAAACTTGCGATTATCTGTAAGAGTCGTTCCACTCGATCCCAACTAGCGAATGATGACTGTACCCATTTGGACTAGAGATGAACTAGCCTAAGGCTAAAAATCTCTTAAATAAAGAATTAAAAAAAAAATGTACCCATTTGGATTCCCACAGAGATTGTACTACGCGACATTGGTAGTTATGTGAGTTCTCTCAGTTACAGAGTGCCTACAGGCACTCTAATTCGGATAGATTCCCCAAACCACTACCAACAACGTTTCAAAGATCGAATGAATGGATGGAATGGTGTTTCAGTTAGCAATTTTCACGATTCAATTAGGTGCAACTAGATGATTACATTTCGCAGTTGGAAGACGTAAACTTTGTTTCTTCCATCAAGGGTTGAAAGGTTTGAATTGAACTGACAGTGGCTGAACAGCATCCGTGAAGTCATCCTATTTGATCAGCGGAACGTAACACAACGAATTCATTAAAATGTTTCGAAACGCAACTGTTTTTCCAACTACGCGCATGCACTTGACTATTTTTCTTTTCTTTTCATGTCAAACAAAAGTTGTTGCACAAGTTAACAAAGTAAAATAAAACTCTACGTGTAAAAACTCAACTAGGTACATAGTTAAAATTTTCCAAAAAATGTAAACAAAGAGCGATTATGATTGTGAAGAGTCCTTTTATAGTACGTCCAGGTCTGTGTCCGATCGTTCCAAACAGTCGGGGGATTTTTTTTCCTAACTTCTGTTTTTTTTTGGTTTCTTCTTATAATTCTACTAAACGATTAGATTCGCTTAAAGATTTTCCTCCTCGTCATTATCACCCTCCTCCATTTTGGTAATAGTTTCGGAAGGCGTAGGAGGCGAGCAGCTGTCGTCATCGTCCCGTTGCTGGGGTGACGACGACGATGTTTTGTTTTGACTTCTCAGCTGGGCCTCCTCGCGTTCCTGTTTGAACAGTTGGATCTGCTTTTCGATCACGGCCGAGAGGTTATCGCTAAGCAGATCCTTGTTGTTAACGATGTTGCCATTGAGCTGGATGACGATACTCTGAGGGAGCACGGGGGAGGACTTATGGCATACTTTGTCCGAACCATCGCTTGCTTCTTTCGAGAGACTAATTTTGATGTTGTTATTGTTATTGTTATTATTGCTGTTATTGTTATTGGCTATCACATTGATTTTTTTGCTTTGGTTTGCTAGCAATTGGTTAAGGAGATGATGTTCATCGATTTGGTTTCTTTGGCTTATACTTGGGAGATTGGCTACGCTAGCATTGGCAATACTTTGTACGTTTCGAGGCTTTTTCAACTGATTAATATTAATGCTACCGTTGTTTGATAGTAGACTATTATTGTAGGATACGCTACTGCTGGTTGAAATGGTCACGTTTTGCGTATTTGGAGTCGTTCTGTTGTTAAGGTTCACTGTCTGATTTTGATTATGTACCTGCATCGGTGTTATGCACACCGTTCCGTCTCCGTTCGGCAACTGCTGAATGTTGGCGACCATGGTCTGGTACATCTGGGTTGACACCGGAACCGTAATCATACCACTCACTGGGAAGCCTGAGTAAGTATATTCTGAAATATGAACGAATAGTTTCGACCACAACGATTTAATGGGCACCATAACACAGCGAAATGTACCTTGACCGTCCTCCCCGGTGATGATGAGCTGTCCGTCCTGACCGAGCGTGGCCTCCGTCAGATCCACCGACATACTTTCACCATGGCCGTCCGAGATGGTTTGGATCGTGTGGACTCCGCCATCGTTTTGGGCTTGTAGCTGCAAATAGGAATTAGTCTAGAAAATTGATGCAGGAGATGTAAGCGATGATTACGAGGGATGATGGGGTTCTTGAAAATACTCTTCAATAATGTCCAAAATAATATTTGCAAGGCTGCATCGTTAGGGGCGATTCAAATATGACGTCCACAAGTTTTTCGATTTTTTCAACTCCCCTGTGTCACGCATTTTCCTATTATTAACAGTAGATGGGGCAAGATGGGTCATCTAATTGATTTATTTAATTTTTTTATTGTCAATATCAACAGGGTCAATGTAGCCCTAATGCTGGTTTGAAAAAGCAAACGATCATTATAATTGCATTGAACCTGTTGATTTTGACGAACGAATAAATTAATAAATGTACTAGCTGCCTCATCTTGCCCCCCGCCCTTAACCTACTGTTACAAATTGTAGAACTCAAGATTGGGCGTCATATTTGAATCATTCTCTAAATGTCTACAAAAAATTAAAAATATTTAATGCGATGGTCAGGGAAGAAAAGTTTCAAAAACGAAGATATTTGAAATGACATCCTATCTTTTTGGCACTATAAAATCCCCACAGATCTTTGAATATATTTCTAGATAGAGCTGGAATTAGGGCGTAACAGCTTTTGCAAACAATGACTTCTCTCGATGATTTATAGGAATTCAATGCTCGCCCACGCAAACCACCATAACCATCGGGTTCCCCTACCTGATGGTTATGTTGATTTGCGTGGGTGAGCCTTGGCTCTTTAAAAATCATCGGCAGAAGTTATTGTTTACAAAAACTGTTACGCCCTAATTCCAGTTCTATCTAGATTTGTATTATGAATGTAAGATTTGTGTGTTATTACAATTATATTTTTTTCATCAATAGTAACTGAATTTTTAAAATTGTATGGCCAAAATCTGGGAGGAAGACCCAGACTTTATAAATATGAACATCAAAACGAACCAAACACAAACTGTCACGAACTATCATCAACAATCAATACGAAACTAACGATTTTAAATTGGCTCACCACTTTAGTAGCCTATTGGTCCCAAGCAAACGATTAACGTACCCTATTCTAGTTGAAATTCTATTACTACACTATGTTTGTTTTGATTCGCTATGAAAGTTTGACAGATAACATCAGGGGTGTGTGGATTCATGCAGAACATGCAGGGGTGAGTGAAATAGCTTGGGACTGCTTGGGACCGTTGTTCTGGTACTGAGTGAGCCAAAATAATAATGATTTTCTTCGGGACCCAGTGGTCTTAGAGTTACCTCTATGCTATCATTGCGATCCAAGCAGTTTGATGATGGTTTTCTTACAGTTGAACAAGAATTCAGAATGCGGTATTGAAATCTTGCGAAGAGTAATTTATGAAACAATATTTTTTATCTAGCTCATTTATTTGGAAGGCTCAATCGCGTTAGCTTTACGGAGCCGATAATTGAAAAATTATTAATCCAAGCTATTTTATTCAATGAGCTATCGTTTTTTTTCTCGATTCATTAATTTAATAAACCATATGATCGCGCACGGGCGGGATCCCTACGTTGTGTTTTTGTCATACGGATTGATTAATTATAATGAACACCGATTGCTTTTCCGTCCTGCCATGGCGGAGGCATATGAGACACCGTTGTATTGTTTATTTGTATTTCCTGTTACAGCGGATAGGGTAGTTATACATATAAATGACGTTGCACAAACATTATTATTATAGTTACTTAAACACTCTTGGGTCATTCGTGACTTGTCCGGGGGTGAGATTTGAACTTGTGACTTTGGCGTGAGAGATATGGATGTTAAACACTACGCCGGGGTGGACCCCCCCCCCACACACACAAACATATGCATATACCATTAAGCAAGGTTTCTGTCAAAATCTTTGGTAACATAATAAAAACCAAAACAGAGAAGTATATTTCCCCACTGCACACTGAACAACGTTAAACAATCACTACACGCTCCAAGCAAAACAGGCAATTTTGCTACGCATATTTTGAATTTATTTTAATTGCAAAAAAATTCATAACAAGAAGAACAAACTATAAAATGAATTCCGTGTGTGCTACCTGTGTCTTCCTCCCAGACCAAAATCATTCAATCACGTGCTTGCTTGTCATGACGATCGAGCGTATTGTGAGCCGATTGTGAATCCCTAACACGGGCGTTAATTCCAGATATCAAAACACTAACACTATCTTAAATTCAACCTTTGAACAAAATTAACCCTCTCTTCGCCATGGTAGCACAGGGGATCCACAACTTTTCGGTTAGTCTCATGAATGTCAGTCCAGCATTAAATCTGCGATTTTCCTGAAAAAGACCTGGTAGGGTAATGGATTTTGGTTGGACCTACTTTTACTAGTGCTCATTTTAGTCCATATGTTTTAAAAGCTCATAACTATAACTTTTTTACTGATTAAATATATTTTCAAAAAAATTAATTAGTTTTTTCATCAACATGGCTCATTTTAGAACGTCCGCAAGAGTTATGTTTTTATACATTTTCAAAACTTTTGTATAGTATTGTACTACTAAAAGTTGTAAACTTCATAAAATTAGCATCAAGGTTACTGATACTAAAGCGATGGTCGGACTATGCAATGTGTGTGCAGTTCATTCTTCGTGTGCGATCGCTTATATTGACGAAGCAATTCGTGTTATTTTGTTTCTCCCACCTTTCCTTCATTCGCTGAGTGACCACATGCACCCATTGAGAATGGGTCACTCACTCTCAAATATGGGCAATGCCACTCGTAGAAGAATGAACCCGGATTGATCCTCTTCATGAAGAGCATCATTGCTATTATCGTTCATGAACGAGGTTTTGTGTGCTTGCTTGTGTCGTTTCTCTCGCTTGCGCTGTGCGCTGTGCGCATCGTGTCGAATCAACTACTACCGTTCGCGTTGAAGAATGAACTAAACGCATCTTCGTGAGGATCAAAGCATGATCATCGCGTTGATGCGAAAAACCATTCGCATCGTCATACAAACGAAGAACGCACTACACCGAACCAAAACATCCGCAATACTTCGAATGATTATTGCATTGCTCGAGCCCTTTAACAATATGCATTCGAATTTCAGATGATTTTCTTATGGTTGAATTCGTCGTCAGATGATGAACATCCATATGACTGTCATCCAAATACAGGATGATTTTCTTTTGAAAATTAGCTATAAAACATACGGCACTCAGACGACAAACATTTAAGAATAGTGTGACATGCAAGTGCTTTTAATTAGATTTATAATTTGATTATCTACAATTCCATACTGCATAGCCATAATAAGCCATTTCATTATGGATACAAAAAATTTTCGTGGTGGAGAAAACCTCCTCCACCACGAATTAACCAAACATTGGTTTACATCCTTTACCTATGTTCGTAACAGCTCTGATAGCGATGCATATGCTTCCACCTTGTTTGTCAGCTTAGATCAGTAAATGACGTTCGATAGAATTATTTACATCATCGTTTTGAATGATTTGCGTTATGGGGCTGAACCAATACCATATGCATTTCCATTTAGTATGACAGTCATTCTGCAGAGAGCATTACGCATTTCAACTGAAGGCCCTATCCCTTCTCATAACAAGTTTCATCCTGTATTCGAGAGGAAAATCATCTGATTTCAAAACAACCGTCATCCGGTTGCAGCTATCATTCGAAAAAGCTATTTCGGTGTTTTGTTTTGAATGGTCTGAGGTTTCATTCGATCGGAGGATGATGTTTGTGTACAGTGTACACCACTCGCGATGCGAACGACGAAGAGAAGAAGAGCACGCAGCACGACGATTTGAGTGGTGCATCGGCACTCACACTCCTCTCTCACCGAGCTTTCTTTACGATTTGCTTTTATGTGGGCATCCACATCATTCAAGAGTTTTGCTGAGATACCGATGCTTCGAGTACCGTCGCACACGATGAACGAATATGAGAGAAATGAAGCGAATATCAGTAGCCTTGATTAGCATGAATTAATTTTACTAAAAAGTTTCAATAGTTAACAAAATTCCTAATTCATATTTGTATCATGGTTGGACCTACGCATTATCATCAGTTCCATGATTCGTTTCTCATCGTAACTGACATCGATCACGGATAAAAATTTTGTTCATTTAAAACAAAAATATAAATGTTTATACTCTAAACATATGAATTATTTAAAGTAACCTTTGCTCAACTTAACAAAAATCGGCCCGAAAGTGGCAAAACCGAAGATGGATCCGGAAACCAGCTTGACAAAACCGGCGGAACCCCACAGTATCAACTTCAGTTTCTGATGCCGATCCCTATATCATCCTCCTCCTCGCGTGACTTCGAAAGGACAGCGAAAATCCGAAATGGATTTTGAATCCATTCCGGATCCTCCTCCGACACCAAATGTAAGAAACCGATATGAGGACTAGTGGCATAACAACAAAACGACGCTAATATAACAAATTTTCACCGGTTCCACTGAACTGGAACCCCCGGGCACCGCCTCCAACGAGTCCCTGCATCCCGGCTCAGGACCCCAATACCCACAGGTCACCCTTAATTGCAGGGTGAAAGAGCATGAATTTAGATGCCCTGCCCGAAGATCTTCATTTCTTTGCAATGCGTTTTATCTTGCTTTACCCTGCACTCAACTATTAAAATAATTTCCAAATATGTATGTTAATTTTAAACATGAGAAGCATGTTTAAAATTCAAATATTTATTTTTTTTCGCATAGCTGTCAAACCAAACAAATACGTTTGTTTTCAAGATGAATATTTTTAAAATAAACGTAACATGATTTTTATTTTAAACATTGATTTCACATGACTTCAAACATGGAATACGTTTGAAATCAACCTAATTTATTTTTGTGGCCAGAACAAACTGAGTTTACGTTTAAATTTACCTCAAATATTTTTGTTTTGACGATAGTTTTTTCTGCGTGATGAATTCGCCTTCGATGATCACTCGGACCATGTTCGGAGGTAGAATCTTCACCGGTGTTTGCTTTCCAACCATCGACAGCGCCCCAGCTTTTACAGGTGTTCTCTGGCTGACATTGCTTTTCGCCAGAGACATCATACTTCTCTCCATTTGTCCGATCGTTGGACTATCTGACCGTGTAGACATATTAAACCCCACCTACACCGGGGAAGTCTGATTCCGGTTGAAACTCCCACTAGAACGCTGGCGACGCATCTTTGACTGTCGAAAGTCGATGGCTTTCGGGAGAAAGTCCTCCCGGAAGCGTTCATATGAGTGCTCATCATACTCAAATCCAGTAGAAATTATTGTCCTGTCGGAAAGTGGAAGTGCCTCCCCCGGAGAACGTACTCGCTCGAAGCTTCGATTCGGTGGCCGAGGCCGTTGCTTATTAGGTTCAGTGTAGTTTTTTCCGAGAGAATTTGGGAGCAACAAATCGAGAGTCACAAAAATTAGGATCTGGGATAGGATTCCACTGCTTGTTGTTTTGTTTCTTTACAACAGAACATGTGAACTGTCAAATTAACCCGGTTGCCAAACATACCATTATACAAACAAAAAATCAGTCTGATGACACTCTAAACCGATGTGCGGTAACAAAGGTGAGGAGAAAGGAAACTAGTGGACTCTTTCATTCTAACGAAGTTCTTATGCAACAGCAGACGTGACGTCACGTCTGTTGCTGCGTAAGAAGACGCGAGAACGAAAGAGTCCACTAGTTTCTAGAAACACTGGAATAAGAGCCAGCGGAGATACTGTTATGATTCCAATCGAACTGTCAAAAGCGGTTCCAATCTGCAATGTTTACAAATGGTTTGCTTCAATTAGGGAGGAGTATTAAAATCGTTTAACAAGCACTCATGAACTCGCTCGTCGGTGCATTGGCGAAGTCACTTGCAAGCAGTTACAAATGCAAGTAATGCCAGGATTGCTTTGATGTTTATCTTGTTGCCAAATTCATGTTTTTTGTCTCCGCTGGTCTCTTATTCCAGTGTTTCTACTAGTTTCCTTTCTCCTCACCTCTTATACCGCACATCGACTCTAAACACTGCCAGCACAGCTGCGGCACACTGAGAAAAAAGTTGATGCAAAATAAGTGTGTAGAGTGATCACCCCTTGGCCAGACCTTATGTATCGAGCCTCGTAACATCATGTAAAATTGTATCAACCTCTAAAAATTGAGATGGGCACCACCTAGCAGCTTGGCATTGCTGGACTTCAGTGCAAAACTTTCCGAGATTAAGCTAACAAACGGGAATTTTGCCGAGCTACAAACATAAATTTTTCTGAATCTCGGCAATTTTTTAACTGAGATCCAGCAAAATAAAATGCCAAGCTGCTCGGTGGTACCCACCTCGGCAAAAAAATCTAGGAGTGTATATTGAGTTCAGAATTCACTCAACTGGCGGCGCTAGTTGAGCATTTGACTTAATTTGATCACTTCAACTTGACAGCCCAATTCGATATTTAGAAAAGTTGTTCAGATCCACAAGGGCTAATGTATGGTGAACAGGATTATCTCAAGGCTCAAAACCATAACTTGGGCAGTATGCACACACTTGATTTGTTTCGCCGAGATTCCAACAGCCGAGTAGTTCTCAAATAACATTTTGCTGAGATATCAGTTAACAAACATATATTTTACAGAGATATCAATAAAAGTAAATGACGAGGTAATCGGCTGTTGGAGATTTTACCAAGTTAGATTAAGTGTGTAGCAAAGAGGGTTGAATAAATTTGCAAACAACATCAATGAAATAATTCTCAATCAAAATCTACTGAAACATTAAAAAAAAAATCGGACAATCCAGTGCCAACATTTAAAGGGGCGTAATTGCATTTGTAAACAATGGCTTTAGCCGTCGATTTCTCGCGAATAAAAGCTCACTCATGAAAAATAATGACACCAATAGGTAGAGGAATGTTTCCTCTACCATCTAACATTTTTATTTTGAAGGAGTGAGCTTTAAGATGCGAGAAATCGACAGCTAAAGCCATTGTTTACAAAAGCAATTACGCCCCTTTGAAATGTTGGCACTGAATCATCGATTTTCTATTCACATATTGCAATATCTTATGTCGTTTTCGTACCGTACACCGAAATAACTCACTTTTGGTGTACTACGTCACAACAACGAAAACGACATTAGAAAGTCCATTTGATTTTTTTAAAACCTTCACATGCCAACTTAAAATTGGATTGCCTTCAGATTGTCTGCAGTGAATAAAAAATATGTCTTAAAAAATAGTGAGAAATCGTCTAATTTGGCATCCCTGAACCAAGGTTGCATATTCCAATTGCGCATAAAAACTGATTTTTCACATTAATTAAATCAAAAGATGTTATGATCACATGTTTTACCAGTAACTTACAAGAAGAAATTGCAAATTATGTATTTGACACATACCCCAACAAACAATTTGAACTGGTTAATAGCTGAATAAGTTTTTTTAGCTGAAGAAGCATTTTTCATGAATAAGCTCTTATTCAGCTTCCAATGCTTGATGGGACAACCTGTCAATATTGCAATCCAAGAGTCACAATCTTATGATCGAAAATTGATAAAACCGCTGATTGCGACTCACAGAAAGCAACATTGGCAGGTTTTATGTGCCAAACACATGCTTTGTAGCTTCTTCTTGCATCTTACAAATAAAAAAAAGTTGATCATATCATCTAATTACTTCATAATTCCGATTTTTTTCATCCGAAATGTGTATGCAACCTTGCCCTGAACACGAAGTCAATTTGAATACGTCTTATAGGTTTGGTTTCAACTTACTGTAGCAATGCCTTGCACTTGTGCCGTCGTTCCATCCGGAAGTGTGATAATTGGATTGTTGGGATCAACCTGGATTATGGAAACGGTACCATCGGGATTCTGGATTGTTTGAAGTACTGTGTGCGTGTACTGTAATGAGAAAAGAAGTGACAATCAGAATTCAACGAACTTACAAAATTATTCAACACCGTCATGCTAATCAAAATAAGTCGAACAAAAGTATAAAAATACCATCAGGAATTTCCTGAAATCAACTAAATAAAGTTAAAAACAATTAAGCTGAATAAAACCAAACGCAAACGCAAATATAAATATCACACTTTAAAAATCGCAAGGGCAACAGAGGAGAAAGAACCGAAACATCGAAACTCAAGCAGAATAGTTACTAAAGAAGGCAACAACATCAATATTTCGGTAGCCAAAGGGATTAGTACGAACATCCACATCGTTTAGCGCCATCGAGTCGAGGCAAACCTGCGCATTCAGGGTCTGCGTGGGTGAGTTCTGCTGCTGTATCTGGAGTGTTCCGTCGGACGCCTCCTTGATGATCGTCTGATGTGTCTGATGCTGGGCCGCTGAGGTTGTGATCGTGGCTTGAGGTTGGTGCTGAATGACAATCTGCTGGCCGCTGTTTGTGCTACTACTTGCCAGGGAATTGCTGCCCGATGTGGTGGTCGTTATGACGTTTGTGTTGTGAATCTTGATCTGTTCAACCTGCGTACGGGGAATCGAGGACGGGTGGATGGATAGTGATATAGAGATAGAGAGAATCCCACATGTTAATCGAAGTATCATACCATAGCCCGAACGGAGACACCGGAGTTAGCCCGAACGGAGACACCATACAGCAGTGATCGTTATACTTACATTTGAATTAGCCGTAGCGATAGCATTGGCCTTCTCATCCTCTTCGCTGAACGCCGGAAGCAGATCTTCTCTACCGTGATATTTGTAGCAATTGATCACAATCTTCCGCAGTGCATGTGTCCAGCTTATCTACGAAATGCAAACAGAACCTAGTCAATAACTGAAATTAAGCACCAATTTTCGATCAACGGTACCTTCTGTTTCTCCTCCTCGGTACGGGCATCCATGCGAACGTTTGCCCAGGGTAACTCCTTTGGCCACCAAGCCGGACGAGTGGAATCCCTTCCCCAGCCCGGTTTTCCACGGCCCGTAGAGTACTTCAACATTAGAGGGATAAATGCTCGTAGCTGTGCTTGGGTCATCTTTTCCACCGGCGTCGGTATACCGTCGATGATCAGTGGGGGCAGTTCGAACAGCGATGGATCGTCCTGAACTCGAGGAGGTGCCTGCGCTGCCAGTGCTTCGTCCAGTTTGTCCATAACGTTCGGGCGGAGATTTTTCAGAACGTCCTCCAGAGGTTTGGCGCCGAATACTTTGAAAATGTTGTTTGGTTTGCCCGGTGTGGCCACCAGTACGACGGCTTGCTGTCCGACGCGGGTTGCGTACTCGAAGATGGTTTGCTGCAGTATTTTAAAATTTGAATGTTTTTAAGCTGACAAGCTACGGCAGACTAGAGTGGGCTGGTAATTTATTGTAAGCCGGAAGGTAGACTACCGTAGACAGTATTCAGTTGAGGCTGGACATTTTGTAGAAGGCCGTAAACACCAGACTGATGATAAATTTAAAATTTTCGCTCCACAGTGCTTCAACGGTTTCAAATCGGGTCCTGATAAGCCTCCCAAAATTTGAACTCATTTGGTAAAATATTGACTTGGTACAATCCATTTGAAGTTTGTATGGAAATTACTATGGGAAAACCGAACATTTTGTTCATTGTCTTCTTCGATATTGTACTGTTAAAAAATTCTATTACAATTCGTATGGAAAATTTTCTCAGCTGCAACTTGGCAAAAGATCGTTTTTCAGCCAAACGTCAAATTAAATAGTTATTAATTGTTTAAGAGAATAATAATCTTATGCAAGGGGAGCGACTCTATTGAAGATGCAGCAAATTTTTTGCTTTGCTGTCTCGCGCTTAATAGATTTCCTACAAAAAGGTGGAGAGCGATGCGAGTAGATGGGTTTAGATGCAAGAGATGAAAAAAGATTTTTCTTAGATTGGTTTGCTAGTGAGATTTTCCGACCATTTAAAATCGAGATTTAGATGTGTCGCACCCCTCGATCTTATGGCATGATCCAGCAGCTGTTTTGTGGGCAACACTGTATTCTACAGTGTGGCATAGTAGCCATGATTTGTGTGCTCTATTCTATACGCCAGAAACACCAATGTTGCCTGCTGAACAGTTGATTGAGCATAATCATAAGCCATTAGTGCCTTGAATCATTAATAACTTTTTTTGTTAATTACTCTATTTGTACAGGCTCAATCGAATAAACTTTACAGAGCCAAGTTATGATTTACGTTGTACATTATTAATGTCTGTCGGTCTTCTCGAGGTTAGTGGATGACAATTGTATGGATGGGGAGAGGGAGAAGGAGAATTGATAACTTTTGTTCCTTATAATTGATCGAAAAGTGGTCTTCAACAAAGTTGTAGCTGAGAAAATTTCCATCAAGCACAACTATCATTTTCAGAGCAAGTGAAATGGTGAATTTTGAGATAGATAAGACAAAAAAAAATTTGGTTTTCCCATAGTATTTTCCATATAAACTTCAAATGGATTGTGCCAAGTCAGTTTCTTACTAAAGAGTTCAAATTTTGGAAGGCTTATCAGGACCCAATTTGAAACCGTTTGAGCACAGTGGAGCAAAAATTTCAGTATCGGTATTAGAACAAGGTCTCAAAAACTTGATTTTTAGAAGTTCTCCATTGAACTGTTGTTATGGATAACACGTTTAACAAAACGCTTGATTGCAGCGAGATACCTCCGGTGGGAAATCATTCACAAGGACGTATTACACATTACCTAGGCAACCAATAGGCCCGTTAATTTGGATTAATTTTGCTATATAAAGCTAACATACCACTAATACAGGCCTGCGGCACATTATTAGTCGGATTATTACTAAGCAGGCTTATTTGGAGGCGAACCAGCCTCAGGCTGAAAGCCTTCTTAATAAATATAAATCAATCAATTACTAAGCAGGCTTGTTGGTTACTTAGGATTGCCCCCACTTTATCCAACTCTTAACCACACAATGAAGAACAAGAACTACAAGTACTCAGAAATATATCTCTTAACTTTTTGCCTTTCTTGCATTTACACAAAGACACTCCAACCCATTTCAGATGTTTAATTTCTGTTGAACTGAACTAAACACAGCGCCACCCAGAAACGCGCTAATCCTGGAGCATGAATTTTGTCACATCCAACAAGGTATAGCTCTACTCAAAGATGTAAATAGATTTTTACCGTCCCTCTAGATCCCACTTCAACACAGGGACGGCCCAAAATCATCAAAATTCATTTCGCCAAACAGAATCTCACGAACACTAGTGTGTAAATTAATATGATTTTGACAGTTCTTACAGTAATGCATCTGTAATTTTCATACAATACATATGTAGCTGGAGAAGACTATGTGTGTGATTTGTTTAAGCAATTAAAATAATTCATTTGAGCACCCACAAGCTCACAGTTCCATTGAAGATTTTATTAATTTACAAATTTCCTAAAACTGCACCGAGTAATTAAATTGTATGAGACTAGCGAAATCAGTAATATTTTTCATAGGGGACTATGAAATAAATCTCTGATCTTTAAAGACATTTCCTGGCATTCCCTGATTTTCCAGCACTAAAAAGGAATTCTCTGAATTTCCCTGATTTTCCAGGTTTTTTTTTTCCGGTAGTCGAAACCCTGTCTTGAAATTTTGGTTCAGAGTTATATTTCGTGTTGCCTAGTAACTCTCATAAGCATTTCTTAGATGTGCTTCCAAGACTCGTTTGGAATGCCCCACATAATTTCCTTAGAATGCTCCCAGCGATTAATTGAAATTCACCTGAAATTTTCCCTAGAAAGGATTCTCTCCAGCATTCCCTGTGTGTTGTCCAAAATTCCATTGGAATTCTTCCCAAGCATCCCTTGGAATGATCCCAGGTGGTTTTAAATGTCCTATTTACCATCCTTAGAATTGGCCTTAGAATTCCTTCGAAACTATCCTCAGATTTAGATTCTTTGTGGATTGCCATCAGAACTCATTTAGAATTCTTGTCAGGATGCCATGGGAGCTATACTACTACTGCTTCAATTCCTCAAGAATTATACTCATACTTCCCTAAGTAATCTCCTATTGAAATTTCCCATTTGATTCCATAAGAATTGTTGCCATAATTCTCTTGAAGTTCATGTTAGAATTCCGTTGGATTTCTTGTCAGAATTGTCTTGGAATTATGCTCCGATTTCCTTTGAAATTCTCTTTAAAATTTACTCCTTACAATCCCCATGCAATTTTCTTCAGAGTTAGCATTTATTTCTACTCAGAGGTCCCTTGAAATTCTCCTCTTATTGAAAATCCTTAGGAATACATTCCGGAATACCCAAACAATTAACTTCAGAATACCCTTGGAATGATCCCACTTCTTATCGAAATTCTTCCTGTTTTTCATGTTAAATATTTCAAAAATTGTCCTTGCTCCACTAATCCGAGTATGACATACTCATAACATTGTTATTATTTAGTTCCTGAATTACCGGGAGGTGTTCACCCTCTCCCTCTGTCTCCTCCAGAATCACAAACTCAAATCGGAACTATAATTGACCCGCAAAAAAAAAACTTCGCAAACAATCTAATAAATCGATCTAATGCAGACCTAAAGACATTATCCTGTTCCTCAATTTCCATGGACAATCCAAACGGATACTAGGATAGATTGCTTATGAAAAACTGATCCAAACCGGGCAATCGTAGTTGCCTCAGAAATCACACCTTCTCTCTCCCCGCTCTGTACTCACCCGCAACTTCCTTAGCAGCCGGTTCTGTTGCCGCTTCCGGATGGAGGGATTCGTCTCGAACGAATGCGGTCGTTTCTTCTTCTTGGACGATGTGATCGCCGCAGCAGCTGCCACGCCTACTACCCCGGCCGCAACGAGCTGTGCGGTGACTTCGTTTTCCATGGCCACATTGATTAGGTTTGTTCCGTCGTCGTATGCACTACCCGGGCTACTCGGATTATCGTCGTCGTCATCATCCGACGCACCGGTGATGTTGTCGTCTTCGATCAAATCCATTTCCTCCACCGTGTTCATGTTGATGCTGTCTGCCGTACGCGGTCGTCAGTGGCTGCAAGGTGTAAATGAGGGAAAAGAAAACTACAGGAACTGCGCTCCAGTTACAACATTGGCAAGTGAATCACACATCCGAAAATGCGCAGCTCACTCACCCCTGTCGAATAAAGGGAAATATTCTTATGTGCAAACATAAAAACCAGAGAAAACAAAACCAAGGGTGAAATTCGCGTCATTTCTGTTTCCAGTGCTTGCCACCAGAGCGATGGCGGCGCCTCATTTGAACACCCCCTCCGAAGCAATATATCGATGCAACCCAGGAGGAAAATGTATGCTTTATGTTTTGCTTCGCCTCGTAGGTGCGCTGAAGCGAGAGAGCAAGTGCCGTGGTTGCTCTTTAAACTCGAGTCCGTCGCTCTTCGTCGCCCATGCTTGCTGTGTTTACAATTACCACACACGTTCGTTCGCTTTTTCGCATCCTGTATTGTGGAAGTAAAGCATGCGGCGACCCCTTTTTTATGTGCGTTTTTATCAAACAAGGATACCATGCTTCCTTTTCAATTGGATTGGCATTAATGAAGTGGGACCCCATTCATGTTTTCGAGATTTGGTTACGGGAAATTCACTGATATGATGCATATTTTCTTCACATACGGTTCACTAACACACATTCACGACTGGGGCTGTCACCTTAGCTGTTGTACTGAGAATTACGGAAAATGGGGAATTATTCTGGATTGGAAAATATAATCATTAATCGAATCCGATTCGAGTCCTTTCTCTCACATATGGATAGTGTTGATAGATGTTCCGATGCTTACACAATGGTTCGATGGATTCTCGACTCGGTTTGTGCTCGTACGGGAGAACAGCTTGGATGTCGTCGGTGATGGCAATGTCCCCCATCTTGCCGAAAATTTTTCACACTGCCCATTTGTGGCCATTATCAACTTTGGAGCCCAGTCCAGCGCCGCGGCACCAAAACAAACCATTGTTTACCAAATTATGACCCGCGTTCTGCACAATTTTACGGAGTCGGAGCGCGGCTTCGAGAGCGATTGAGCGCACAGCAGGAAAAATTCTGAGTTTGCCCTTTTCTTACAAAACACAACATTATTGCTGAGCAAGCCCAGTTAAATTTTCGCGTTACGCACCTGCGTGAAGTTTACAAAAATAGAAACTATCCGCCAATGATGCTCGATGTCAACAATACGCCGAATAATGCTAGTACTTACCGTTTCTTGCACAAATTCACTGTAAATTATGCTTTAAACTGCAAAGACGAAATTTTTTCACCTCACTAGCACTCTTTGCGATGGCCGACGCCAGTATCGATTTTTCCAAGGCTCGTTCGAACGATGGTGAACGTGGGTTGCGGCTGTTTGTGGTTCAGGAGTGGGTTGATGCAGAGAGGATGTGAAGACACTGTGACGTCATGGCGATTTGTTTTGGTGAATTTTCTGCCTCTGACGGTGTAGGGACCCGGTTGCTTGGATGAAAGCGTTTGGAAAAGGATGTCATAAAATTTTCGACCGATTAGCTGTTGTGTTTTATCGATGTAGCATTGACTTTGAAGCGAATTAAGGATCCGATCAGCGTGACGTCAGAGATTTATTCTCTGGTAGGGGACCCTGACTGTTCACAGTGTTCATTGCTGTCAAAGCTGGATGGGGCACGTTCACCGATGTGACGTCGCACTAACACATTGATTATCATGCTTGGTAGTGTCATTCATTTGAGCATACAATTTGTAGAATTTATTCTTATTGATGTACGAAGTCTTATCCGAAATTTATTTGATTTGATTGAATAGAAAAATAATGGCTGTACAGTTTCATGTAATAAAAAACACTCAATATCACAAATCATCAAATAATTAAGAAAAATTAGTGATTCAGTCACTGATGAGGATATCATAAAATTCTTATAGGATTTATGCTGCTTGGTGGCTATGCTCAAGGCAGTAATCGTGATTTATATGGTAGGAGTGAAATTTGGTGTGGCCGAGCTAGCGTTTCTGCTCTGTGGTTGGATTTTTTAAAGGATTTGATTATTTCGTTGCTAATGCTTTCTACGTGCACCATGAATTAGCATCAATACAAATAATGCATACCGCATCTATGTATGTATTAAAACATTCATTCGTTATGACGGGCTTGCAGGGATGGATCGCACTTTTGGGATTTTTTTTTAGAATGCTTACGTTAAACGTAATTGAATTTTCAGTTAACCCATCTTAAAATTGGTGGTTTAGTGCTATTAATTGAGATCAATCTCGAGTGCACCTTCAGTGAGAAGATAGAGAGTGGCTCTATGGTGTGGAAATTTTGGATTTGTATAGCGAGATTAATAGCATTACACTGAAAATTCAACCGGCATTCGTTAGCATTCTATAATTAAAAATAATGAAATGAGTGATACATCACTGTTGACTTGGATCCTGGAATTATAATTGAATGATTATCGTGCGTCTGCTTGGAATGGTTAAAAATGAATGGGTTATGATTTATATTTTGATTCGATTAATATCGGTTAATGCTATAATGGTCAGAGAAAGTTAGAAAAACTCCAAAGGTTAGCAACTCTCTCAATGACAGGTGCAATGAGAAGTACACCATCGAAGGCATTGGATGCTTTGCTTTATATGCTACTATTGCATCAATTTGTTCAATTAGAAGCCGAAAAGTGTCCTCTAAGGATTACAAGGTCAGTGAAAATCTTTGAAGGAGACCCTAGAGGACATCTTAGGATTCTAAAAACTGTTAGTATCAACTCTCTAGTAAGAAACAACGAAGATTGGATGGAGAAAAGATACAATTTCAATCGACCTTTTCAAGTAGTTGACCCTGGGCGTAATTCATGGCAATTTGGTGGCCCGATTCTTCGTCCAGGATCGATTGTTTTTTATACAGATGGTTCAAGATTGAACAATCAAGTGGGAGCAGGAGTAACTGGCCCAGGGATAGAAATATCGGTTCCTATGGGCAGATGACCAACTGTGTTCCAAGCTGACATCCAAGCAATTTTAGAGTGTTCCATTATATGTTTGCGTAGAAACTATAACAGTTCAAATATATGTGTCATGTCAGACAGTCAAGCTGCTCTAAATGCTTTAAAGTCGGCGACATGTACATCAAAACTTGTCTGGGAGTGTGTTCAATCAGTTAAAAAATTGTCTTGTCATAATCAAGTCAACTTATATTGGGTTCCTGGTCATTGCGGGATTGAGGGAAATGAAAGCGCTGATGCACTAGCAAGACTCGGATCTTCTCATAAGTTCATCGGGCCAGAGCCCTTTTGTGGCTTATCGGCTGCATCTCATCTCTTAGAATGGAGCTTAAAGCGTGGGAATCTTCAAAAGTGAAGGAAAACTTGAAGAACACTTCTATTGCTAGGCAGTCAAAGCGATTCATTAATCCAAACATTTCTGTGACCCACAAAATCCTGGAACTATCTAAGAAAGATCTTAGTATATATGCAGGTCTTATAACAAGTCATTGTCCTAACCGTTATCACTTGAAGCTGATTGGAAAACTTCAAGATGATGTATGTCGCTTATGAGGCATAGAAAAGGAAGACTCGGAACATTTGCTATGCCACTGTCCGGAATTTTTCAATAGAAGGCGTAAGTTCTTCGACAAGGGGCTGACATTTGGAGAACAACTCCCAGTACGGCAGTGCACTTTATTCGAAGTATAATGCCGTTCTGGGATAATGCTATTAGTCAAACGATGGCGATCACTCCTAATAATAGTGATACGGCATCTTGATATAGCTAAAATAAAAAAATGGGGAATATATCACAATAGATCAGAAAAATGGTCGCAGTGATGAAAATACCCGACAAGGAAAAAAAATGCTATAGGTTCAGAATGGAGAGTTATAACATGTTATAAAATGTTATATAGGGGAAATGGATGTAATGTCGGCCTGAATGCCCCTTATTTGGGGCCAGTGTTGGGAAAATATCAAAAAATCAAATCTCACCAACGCCCAAGATCACACTTGATTTTCGTAGACAAAAATCAACAAGCAAACTACTGCGGTTGATTTTGCAAGCTGTGATATCGCAGCTCGGAATATCAAGCTAACAAAACTCACCAACTGCAAATCTCACCAAACTGTGGTGAGATTGAGTTTAATGATTTTTGCTGTACACCCGAATGCAACCGAAACTTCCATAACGGCTTGCAGCAGTCCCTTCGCGTCTGCCATCGGTGAAGATTAAAAAGAGATAGCAAACTTTGCCTTCTCTTTCTAAGAAAACGATGTGCAATGGAATCATATTTGTGTCGAGTCGAGAGCTGAGAGCTTGATTTCTGCACGTTGTGAATAGTCTCGCAATATCAAAGGAGCTTATAAAATCAATATCAAGCATGATATTTTGTTCCAATATCACGCGTAATATTGCGAGCCAATGAGAGCGGAAAAATATCAATTGATTTCTGATTTTGTCAACACTGTTTGGGGCCGTACAAAATTTCAGCAATCGACTAAATTTTCAATAGCGACCAAAAATATTCATTAATACCGTCCCAATTACGCGTTTATATCGATTAAAATAGATAAGTAGCAGATTTTCAGTGATGGGCCCAATCTTAGATTCATAGGCCAACATTAGAGCCGTTTCCCGTATATGTAACTTTGAATTTACAATATTTTGTACCATTTTCGAATAGTAGTCGCGATGTCCAAGAACGAAATATAATTTTCATAATTGATTATTAAATTACAAACAATTCTTCTCTTCTTCTCCTTTTGATGGTGGGACCATAGTTGGTCCATAAGTTTCTTCCACCGATTTGCGACAAGCGTGCTACTAGGGTAAATGGGATTATCTTTGGTATTCCTTTCAAATTCTCCTCTCACAATACCTTGAAATTCTCCTCGGAATTTCTATAAGTTTATTCTCAGAACACTTTGTAACCAGTTGGTTACAATCCGTGGATTTTTGTCTGTCTGAGTTGTTGTTGTTTGGAAAATTCACGTATTTTAAGAACAAACCCAGAAGGCACACACAGTAGCGAGAGGGTTAGCACCGCTGCAAAAACACTCGAACGAATACTAAAGAGAGGAACATCGTTGCCTTAAGCTAAAAATGGAGAATGATCGGCAAAAGGCATGCGAGTGGCCATCTTCTAAAAAAAAACTTCTAGTGAGCAGAAGTAATCAGGCGTCCGTGTAGACCAGTTGAGTGTGAAGTGCCGTTCAGGACCTTGTACCTCCTACCTCGTACCGTAAATAAAACGGTCTCACACGACTCGGCTCGGAAGTCAAGATGGTTTCCGAGCCTAATAGTAAATGATCCTCGATCGTCCGTCAGCGATGATTCCCGCAGGCCGGTGGCTTTAATTGCCAAGGAGGGTCTCGTCTCGGCTCGACCAAGGTGACCATGCCACGGTTAGCCGATGTTGTCAACGCCTGCCAGCCAAACGAGCCAGCACCGCCTGCTGAGCCGTATGTGGCTGATGTTTTGCCACCAGATCCGCCATTCTCCCAAAGCAGCAACAACATTGTTTGCAGCTCGCGCTGCTAGTTTCCGGCAACACGGTAATGCAGGAGCAGCCGTGTGGACCAACGCCAGCGTCGCGACGCCGAAGGAGATTCTGCTGCAACAATGAGTACCGTAATAGTTTCATAAACTCTCGCTTACACACTACACAAATATGTGAAAACCCACACCCACACGTCACAGAAAATGGCAATAAATAGTTTTAGAAAATGTGATTATTACTGTGTTTTCATACTTTGTCCGCGTAGCCCCTCCGAATACCCAGTAACATGCCGGCCCTGCGACACTGATCAGGGGTCTCATGCTACTTAGTTACCCGGGGGTGTTTGGTCATGCCATATTCACAATTCTTTAATTTTTTCAAAATATCCCATTCGCAGAATTCTCTAAGATCTTTCTTTCCTTTATTTAACGTCGGTCTCTGTTCCACAATCTAGTGCCAATCACCGACGGACATCGATTGCCATCCATTGACGGCAATCGAATGTGCAGGAAGGCAGAATTCTCTAAGATGCACCCAGAGATTTTCTTAAATTTCTATTCAAAAATCCTATAAAAATGACATATTTTTTGATTCTCCAAGAATCAGTCTCATTTTTGTTAACCAGCCTCGGAGTTCTGTTCCCTTAGTATTCTGGGGTTACTTTTAAAAATCTGCTGGGAATAACTTTGGATTGATCGTTGGGATATTCTTAGATTTTTTTCCTTTTTTATGATTTTATTCGACAACCGGATTATTGTTTATTGTTTATTGTTGCCATACATCAACAGGCTGGCTGTAGCCCAAATGATGTTAATAATACTAATCATAAAAATAA